CCACATTCTCCGCGCAAGAATGACGAATATGCCCGGATGTCCGGTGTTCGTCAAGTGGCGGATAAAGTAGTGTATGAGGTGGCATTGTTGGCAATTACAGTTGTGCTTCGAGAAGAGGCACAAGGCGGAACAATCTACCTTTGGCACTCTCCGGTAGCTCAAGTACGCGACACAGTTGGACTGGAAGGCGGCAACCAGAAGGGGAATTCCACCTTCGCCTGCGGCTTTCCAAACACTATGGAGGTGGATATGAAAAAGATTTATATCCTGGGACATCGTGAGCTACACTGGAAACAGAAAGGACGATATGGGTGAGTCTTACCACCAGGAAACGGGCCGCATCATACGCCACGCCGATGTCGTCATCGTCCAAGACGAATTCTTCCGGTTTCTTTGATTCAGCCTCGGACTCTGGTTTGCTTGGAGACGGCGATGTCGGAGCAGCTGGCGTCGCGCTGTTGCTCGCTCGCGGTGGTGTACTGTGAGGGGAGATGTCCAGGTCCTCCATCAAGGAAGCAAACTTATTGTTTTGTTGTTCCAATCTGCTACGAGGTCCCGCATCTTCTTGGCGGCCCACATAGTCTTCGAAAGGAACGTCTTGCGTCTCCAGGGGCTGCAAGATGTCCAGCGTTTGTTCAAGCCTGCAGACAGCGCTGCTTAGCAGGGTGTCCGTTGAGTGTGAACAGCTGACACGTACCTCTTAACAAAATGGCGATGGCCGCTATCGCCGCTCCCAGAGCTTTCATATGATTGAGTCACCATCTTCCGAAATCGAATCGCGTCGCGCAGAGCCCCAAGAACGGAACCTGGAACGGGCTGACCAGCATCGCGGACGGTACGAGAAACTTTGATGATCTTGCGTGTGTTTTTGAAAGGCTTGACTCCTGCAGCGGATCGAGGGTCTGCTTGGTGATAGGCGCACCATAGCCATCGCAGGAAACAATTGCTTGAGCTTTTGTAGATCTTCAATTGGTTTTGGACTGTGGTCGTGTCCAGAGTAGCTTCCATCTTGTATTTGCAATGTTGGCTCGTTCGTAGAGGTTACAGGAACAGCAGGACAATGGCCTCGCATACTCTTGAAAACCGTAAGATTCGCAAGAAATGGCTTCTGTACTTATGGGATTCAGACGTTCAGAGGACTTGCTCATTTCTGTCTATTTTGAGCTTCCTACACAATGTTGGTCTTTGTTCACTCGAGTGCGGCGTGTTTGTGTAGCCGACAGCGACAGTCAAGAAATTCCAGGTTGGGCTACACACACGGAGGCCATGGGGGTAGTGGAAGCCATTGGGATTTTAACACATAAGATAAGGAGAAGAACGTTAACAATGGAGACGACGAGTAGATCAATTGGGAACAGCGAGGATGACGAGTGGGAATCATACGAACGACGGCTACAGATAGAAGCAATCGCAGCGAAGACAGCAACAGTGCCAAGGAATGAAATGAGCCAGTTCTCTCCGCCCAGGTTTCCAGACAAAGAGTCCCTGCCTCCATCTGTTGCCCTGTAGTGTTCTGACTTCATCACGTCCCATTCAGCCAGGGACTTCATGACGACTTCCGTAGTGTGCGTTACACCGAAATCAGCCAGGCTCCGTTTTCATTTATGCATAATGAGAGAGTGGAGTGCGTTCAATGAAGTAACCGAGTCCATTTTTATCAAAGAAACATCATCCCGTGGGTCTGATGTCTTTGCCATTGTTTAAGCAAACACCATGACAAACAAAGACTGCTGGTGGTGCGCGACTCAAAATAGGACCTCTCAACTGATACGTCTCTTTCCCCTGTCAAGTATTCACCTTCGTATTAAGACAGCTTTCTGCATCAACGATGGAGTGCTCTGTCAAACTCCAGGTTTTCAGTGAACCGAAGCCTCGCCAGTCATGGACTTGGATCACGACCAGCCGAATCTTCGGGAAATGCACAAGTCTTACAAAGACGCGACAAATTGCTTTGTACGTTGGCTACGATGTCAACACCTCATTACAGCGAGCCAAGGGGCCACTCTCGCCACCGAGGTTACAAGCATCGCTGAAGTTTTCAATGCCGCGCAAGAGGTGCAGAGAAGTTCAATTAAAGTCCCGGTTTCCGTCATGAACTCGCTTCGCGATGCCATTAAATACCGACGCAAGGTCTCCGAGATATTTCACAAAACTGGCGCCGCTGACGAAGGCCATGAAAACTTTGTCTGGAAGTACGTTACCTGGCAACTCATTGATAGACGGCCCTTTAACTAAGACAACCCAGGCTCGAAGAGATACATACGATGTTGTGGCCTCTTGAGTCAAACATGGTGGCATTCGTCGACGACGTCACCGAAGCTGAAGACACAAAGTGGAAGAACGCCTTTGCACCTTTGCCTGTCGATGATACTCAGGACTCGCCTCAAAGCTCCCAGCCCAGTAACTCAGAGAGCAGTCACAACGCCATTACAATCCCTACTCCCGGCGCTACCCCTGCCCCCTCTTTGGCGGATACTGCTCCACAACAGCCGGTAAGATTCGAGCTGGAGGACGACAGAACGACCAAATGCGAACTTGTGGCGGAGTTTCTCTTTGTAAGACTACTCGCCAGAGTTAGTACCTGGATTATACGATTTCTGACTTTGAGGTCCATTTAGGAAATGAACAAGGTGCACAAGCAGCTCAAAGAGATATGGGAACAGGCGGCCAAAGGCGAGGCTCCTATCGCTCTAGCTGCTTGGTTTACCAGTCTAGTCGCGTACGAAATTTGCGACCGTGGCCACATTCCACATGATTTTGATTTGTTTTGCAGCATGCACAATTTCAGCGCGCATTCGTATCAATCCGTAATCCGTGGTATTATTCGGCGACTCGACGACGACCAAGACCCCGATGAGTGTCTGAAGTCGGCGTCGAGGATGTTCATGACAGCTTGCGTCATGGCAGAATATGCCAGGGAGATTCGAGACTTCGACGCCCCCGAGATACATGGAAGCCTACGCGTCTTGACAGAGTGCCCGTTCAAGTACACGATCAACTGTACAGAGGCCTCCAAGACAATGTCATGGTGGTCAGAGGCACGCAAACAGCAGATTCATAGCGTTCTTGAAGCGGTCAAGACTGCATTGCCAAAAAGCGGGCCCGGTTCCAGAGCGATTGCGCCGGTGGAGAGCTGCAGAACGAGCGACTGCGAGGGCAATCAGATCTGCGAGGCCTTCTTTGATCTGACTCTGCGATTCTTCCTCCAAAAGCAGCGTCCGCGTGTCCCACAGTGGGGTCAAGTCATTATAATGGACCTTTTCATACTAACAGAAGACGCTGTATCGACGCCTAGTGCTCGTTCGAGCAGCCTTCAATACCGGACTGCGGCTCTCCAGTTTGCCATGGACGTGCATGAGTGCATTAACGAATTTCGGAATCCCAACTCCCCTTTTGCAAAACAATACCCCATTGTACTAACCTGCGCGGATGGGTTTTGCAATGCAATCAAGTACTACTTCGAAGAATACAAATCTGGCACCTATCACGAATCCCCCTGGACGATGGGCTGTCACGTGGTGGAGCTTCTGATGCTCGCAACAAGCCTTGGCTTGTTTCTGTGCCGTCAATACGGCGTTCTTTACTCGATATTGCACCTCTATAATGCTTTGCGCCGATTGAATGTCAAGGGACTGCAGATTCCGGAGAACCACGAATTGAACAAGCTTACTCAGATGTTTTCTTTGGAAATATTCAAAGGAGACCCGCCATGTCGTGGGTTTCTCCATGCCTTCCGCTACATAGTATACAAAAGCCACAAGTATTCAGCCTCAACATCGGAAGCGTCCAACCTGGAAAAGGGATTGCTCAGAGGCCATTTCAGAGCAGTCGACCCGTTTCTCTCACTTGTCACCCAACACAAAGACCTCCATCGCCGGAATCCCGTTTTCCTCACCAGGGTTTACAAGAACCCCGTCCCAATAGCATACGACTGCGGCGATGAAAACTGCGCGCAACACAAGTCCAAAGCATGGGAATACAAGATCGAAAAGGTCCGCAGAGAATACGAAAAGACCACGCTTTCCGAGCACACCGCCAAAGCTCGGGATGCAGCGGCTGCAGAGCTTTCCGAAGACAGTCCCTCGTCGCGCCTCAACTTTCTGAAGCTGTTTCAAGCGTATTCCCAGATGCTGGATGAATTCGCCAAAAGAGTCAAGGGACGTCTACAGGTGGAGTACACCAAGCAGAGGTTATGGACAAGTGACATGGATATGGGCTGGAACTGAGTCGTTTCGCTGTCGAAGAAACACTGGAGCAGATCGACCTCAACTTCAACGGCACCAGGAGAGAGCAGGTACATTTAACGGGACACCCGCTCCTCCAGAGTGCAGTGAAAATGTTTAAAGATATGAAGGAGGGCAGGAAGCCAGAAGATGCGAAGCTCACGAGATTTCTTTGGGATCTCGCGTGAAGGACACGACCGGTTGGAAGGCTCATTGGGCTGAAGCCTATCTACTTCTTAAGCTTGAGTGTGACATCCGAATGACGAGAGGGACGAGAGGAACAACGAGAACAACGGAGATAGTAGAATAATTGGGATAAAACTCTGCCTCTATTGTTGAATGTTAAATTACTTACTTGTGGTTGCTCTTTTTTTACACCACCATCTTGAAAACGTACTTACACTTCTCGCATGTAGGCCATCTTACAAGGCATCTCAAGAACAATGCCTTGTTCCATAGGTGTGCCATGAAACATCACATCGTGCCCCATGCCTGTCCCCACCTCAAAGGCTCGAGAGATGAAGCCGCGTGAAAGACCACGCCTACAAGCCACACACCTCCCACTCCCACGTCTCCCTCTCTGCAGAATCTTTCACTGGCGACTCGACAAAACAAATTCAGATTCCACCCATCCATTTCCAGAATAAACGAATTCAGAAACGTCTCCTTCCTTCAAACAAACCCTCTTCACACACCACTTCCCTTCCGCAAACCCCTTCACATCCAGACCTCCTTCATCACAACCAATAACCCAAACACCGCCATCAACATCACAAGATGGCGCCCACTCTCGACAGCTCTGTATCGGAGTTGTGCCGGGACTACAAATCCTCCACGAACTTCTTTATGCAGTGGCTCTTGTGCCAGGCTAGGCTCGAGAATCCCTCCACCAAGAAGTTCACTACGACGGGAGACATACTCGCCGCGGCACGGGTTGTCAAGAAGGCTCGTTCCGTCGTCCCGAAGTCTATCCTGAGTTCCCTTCAAACCGCGATCACGAAGCGCAAACAGGTATACAACATATATGAGAAGAATGGCGCCGGTGATCCGGGCCATGCGGTTTTCTGCCAGAGGTGACGCCGCCCCGTCGACATACAATCTCGAGATTATAACAGGATACTGACATTGGAAACAGACTTGAGAGTACCCTCTCCATTCTTTCTTCCCTGACGACCGCTTCCGCAATTTCTTCCTCCTCTCGCGTCGATGAGTCCGAAAACAACGTCACCACGGCCAACGCCTTCGCGCCCCTGGCCGCAACAGTCGAGGACATCGAGGACGATGCTTCCGAGACTGGCATCGATGAGCACATGTGCCACTCAGAGTCGGAGAACGAGAAGGCCCCTGCATCTGCCCCCACGGCTCCCGACACTGACGAGTCCGACTTCGTGCTGGAGGACGATGCGATCCGTCTCTTCTACGAGGCCGCCAACTTCCTTCTCGTACGAAGACTGCCCTCTCTCCATTCGTCTTACACCCACTGACCTTGCTCTCAGGAATTGGGCAACGTTTACTCCCAAATTGAAGGATACTGGCACGACGCCGCCGACGACAAGCTTCCCCTGCCCGTCGCCGCTTGGCTCACGTCCCTCGCCGCGCACGCCATCTCCAAGGAAATGCCGCGCTGCTTTGTCAATCTTTGTGAGAGCGTCTCGACCAAGTGTAAGACGTGCCCCGATTGCCCGGGTATCAAGGTTATAATCGCCAAGATGTCCCCGTCCGCCGAGGCCGCCGCCAACAACATCGGCCGCGCCACACGAATCTACACCCTCGCGAAGGCCATGAATGAATACGGCTCAGAACTTCCCGACATCAACACCCTCATGATGATGTTCGTGTCTTCCGACCACTCCACGGGTCACGTCGGAACCGGTCGCGGTGATACGAAGGCCAAGGACCGGGAACAGGACCAGGACCCTCGATTGCCACAAGAGGATGAGACTCACCTGAGAGAAATCCTCGACCTTCTCAAGGCTGACTTTATGGGCACCCGAGGCATTGCGCAACTTGAGCAGCTGAAGCAGTACCGAAACGAAAACCGGGTTACTCACAGCGAACCTCTCTTCGATTTCGCGCTACCCCTTTTCAGAGAGATGAAGCGCACCGCGCCCGGAAATCTGGTCATCGCCATGGACCTTTTCATGCTGGCTGCCTCGGTGACCGAAGGTCGTCTGAGCCCAGCCAAGTGCCGGCTGAGACCCGTCCGCCTCGCGCTGGAGATGCGTTCTGCCGTCGACCCGGTCCTCGAATTCCTGAAGAGCATGAACAACTTCGCGGATTGGTCGCAAGCTGCGGATTACCTCGAGAACTTCCGCGACGGCCTGACCGCCCTCGCCAGCGAGCGTGCCTTCGATAAGTATCATGGCTCTGTATGGACAGTGGGCAACCACTCGACGGAGTTGCTGGCCCAGGCTTCCGTCCACGGCGCCAATCTTTGCTGGGATTGGGCCATCGTCAACTCCACCCTCCACCTCTACAACGCGATGCGCCGAGTCGAGATCCTGCGACTCAAGAAGATCCCTCTCCTAGACGAGCTCGCTGACATACTGGCACAAGACACCTTTCGAGGTGCCCGTCCGGACCGGAACTTCGCTTCCACATTCCGCCGCACCGTCTTCAACTGCGGCATCAACAAGACGCAAGCACGTGTGCAGTACGGCTTCACGTCCAAGCCCTTGAGAGGGCAGCATATCATGTGGTTGCTGAACCAACATCGCCAGTCGCACTCCGAGGGCCTTGACTGGCTTGGAGAGGTTCACGGCGTAGTGCCCTGCAAGAAACAGAGGTGCTGGAAGTGTAGGCCGGATAAGAAGAAAGATAGAAACATTCGCGACACGCACCGGGAGCGAACGCTGGCCGAGTACATGGAGCGAGCGAAGGGCAAGGTTGTCCCAGAGTTGGAGGGGAAGGCCCCAATTTCCCGCCTCAACTTCTTCCGGCTCTTCATGTACTGTGCCAGCTTCATGAGAAAGTTCGGGGAGTTAAGTGAGGACGAGTTGGGACAAGGCTTTCGGGCAATGGGCTTACCACGAGATGTGTGGGGTCACCCCCTCCATCTCTCACGCTTAGGCACGGAGGTGATTCTTGAAACAATCGATCAGAGGGTCGGCAGCAGAGAGGGCAGACGCCTATTGAAACAAGACAGGCTGGTCAACTACGCGGGTCAAGTGTTCAAGGAGCTGGACACCGCCGCATCACTGAGCCAGTTCATGTGGACGGTCTGAGCTGGGGGGGGGGAAGATGTCAGAGTTTTGTATAGATAATTCAGGGTACAGAGAGAAATCATATGCTGGGTGAGCCCAAGCCACGCTTAATTGTGAGGAATGTGGTGAATGTTTGACGTTATATTTCGGGTATCTCATTAATCAGAAAAAGCGTGTGCGGCGCACATGTTTGGCATGGAAGCTTATAGCTACCTTGCCATGACGCCTGGTGCATGGACAACGGCGGTATCCGTCCTGGCAATTCGTAGCCTGCATCTATGCCGCATTGGTATTGGGCACGCTACCATCTTCGGGGAAGAGTCCAGCTTGTCCGTTCGGGTGCTTCGTTTCGAACAGCCCAACAGATAAGTAGCTTATGTTCAGTTGGCAATGTCGAGTCCGGCTCATGTCACAAGCTAGGCGCCTCGACTCATTGAGTTCTGGCCCAGGTCTTGCGGGACTCCAGGCGTAATCCGTAAAGCAATGCCTTCAGACTGGGTACGCCCGGAGTGCATGCCTAGGACGTTCCTGCCATACCTCCTCTGCAAATTTAGACTGCAGGATACGAAGGACTGACTCTGCTTCATCTGCCCGGCCTAGGCGCGTAAGGTGGCTGACAGCGTCCATGCCCATGCAGATAACCCTCGATCCGAGGTTGTTCGCCGCATAAAGCTGAGCCAGTTTGTCATTTGCCTGCAAGCCCTCAAGAAAGCCAACAGCTCGTTGGTGGCTGGGGTTTACGGGATGGTGGAGGTCAAGATGTGCGCGGTCGATCTTTAGCGGTCTGTGGATGTGGTTGGCAGTGCCGACGAAAGACTCGAACAAGGCGGCAGACGGCAATGGCCTCTTCCAGGCCTCAACAGTCGACCGCCAGGAAAGAACATGCCATGGCGCAAGAAGGATATTGCGTCTCTGAGCGTCCGTCTTAAATGTCTGGTCGGCTCTGAGCATGGCGGAGTAGGCTGTGTCGAGACTCTCGTCGTACATGTTGGACTTGGCCTTGACCAAGTTGGCCACCAACGAACCAACGATGATGCTGTTCGGATCTTCTGGGCCTTCACCCCGCACCATCCGCTCTGCCCACGCCCACAGCACTTCTTCCAATCCCTCGGCGACCAGAAATTGCGATAGCTCAAAGACAAAAGGCTTGTCTGCCAGGAACTCCAACGTCCGCTCCTGGCCAGACGACCTCAGCCATTGGAGCACCTGTGATCCTGCCATGGAGTCTGCCATGGCGTCGTGGAGTGAGATGACACTGGATTCCAGGATCTGTTTGCGCGTCGCTCGTAAACAGCCAGTCGCGGCCTTCCTCGTCATCATGCCCCTCGCCGCAGCCTCTTCAAATACGTCCATGGGATCTCTCGGCGATGTCAGCGGCAACTTGGCGGGCTTCTCGCTGTTCTTGAAGAGGGGGTTGGAAAGGATTGTTCGAAGATGTCGGTCTGTCGGGCGGTGGTGGGCGTTGTGAGATGTAGGCTTGTTGGCTGTCGTCTGCGAAGCCGATGACTCGGCGGTCTCGGGAGTCCAGCCATGCTCCTTGTCGAGGTTCTGACGGAATGATGTCTTTAGAACATTGAGCAGCTTTTGCGACTCCCGCGTAGAGAGAGGCAGGGGTTGGTGGATAGACGAGATGGCCTTCTTGAAGGAGCTCAGAGGCTTTGTGGTGAACATGGTGGGGTGCTTCGATAATGGGTTTGCGGATGCGCAGCGTTTCGGCGCTGGTGGCCTTTTCGAGTGGTGTTTAGAATTCCAGCCGTCGAGACTGTCTGTGTCGGAGTCGTCGGGGTGCTGGAGAGAGGTGGACGAGATAGGCGGTGGGTGGTATGTGATGTGCACGAGGCCGGTAGGTTCGGGATCAGGTACGCATCATCGTCTTGCTGTGGAGTGATGTCGGTCGCGGAGCCAGGCACAGTCATGCCACTGACGGGTCACATGACATTGAAAGTGCGGAGTTCGGCTAGGGATACCTGAGGCAGCAGCATCTGAGCTGGCAGTCCAGCCCAGCAAGCCCAGGCTGGATCTGACAGCAGCCCGCCCACGCCTGCCACGGCAGAGAAGGAGCTCCCACGTCCGGTACGTACCGAGCGAGGCCTGGGGTCAAGACCTCTCACGTTTCTTGGCCAGGGCTGGAAAAGCCTGAGTGGATGGAGACTGTGACGCTGTTTTTTCCTGTCTTGTCTCGTGTACATGTCACGAGGCCCAGATCCATGATTCAAAGCACGCGAGGCCAGCCATTGCCAGCGCGTCCAGCCAATGCAACTCCAGATCTGATTTGTACCGGCTACCTCTCGCCAGCTCCCGAGCCCCCCATACGTCGAGAATCGCACGAATCTCCCATCCAGCTTGGGTGTTGGCCAGGGGTTGGTGGCACTGGGTGACGAATACAGCCTCGTGCCCGAGAAACGCACCAGGCCTCGGGACATATGACACAAGAGCAGCTGGGGAGGCGCTGGAGCTGCGAGAGTCAATACGGGAAGCTGAGCATGGCATGGCATGGCATCAGAATTAAGGGACGACACGACACTACGCGACACGGACGACGCAGCGAGGGTCCAAGTGACAAGCTTGCCTGGAGCTGGGCTGGAAGCAGCGCACAGGCACAGAGAAAGCAAGCTCTTGTTCTCCCGTCTCGGCCGATGCAGCAGACCGGCGGGAGATATCCGTACAGGCAGCCAGCATTGGAAACAATGGCATTCATGGCTGAATTCAATTGACGGCTGGGCCATCTTCTAGAAGTACTCATCTCCAGTCGCCCGGAGCTTGCAGCATTCCTGGTGCCGGTTGCTGTGCATGTTTGCTGCTCTGCTTGTTGTCGCAACCTGAATGATTGTGACGGCTAGACCGATTCCTTTGATCGTTTCCGTCTCTCTGTTGCCGCATTTCGCTAGATGAGACCCTCTTGCCTCAGGATGACCATGGCGGGTTGCTCCAACTCCTGCTCCGAGCTGAGATGGAGCTGAGCTTCTGACTTAAAGTAGCCGTAGGACAGAGTGCTCGCTCAACGAATGTCTGAGTCTCTCGCTGTCCCTTTCTGCAAGGTGCGTGACTGTGTTGCCTTCTTACCTCATCCTCCCGCACGGCGAATGGCAGGGCCCAAGGCGAGATTCAGGCAGGCAAGGGAAAGAGCAACAAGAGTGGAGTGGAGGCCACCCCCAAAAAGTCAGGAACCAGTGAGAAGGTACGGAGGTACCTGCCTTAGGAAGCCAGGCGAGCGACTGCACAATCCAGCATAAGTACGTGCGGCTACTTGCCATCTGGCCTCTCGTCAGTGGCAAAGACAGGTAGCGGTACCTCCACTCAGCCCGTCGATTGAGGCAGTGGATCTGCATAAGCCCGCAAAATGCAAGCCGCGCTAGCCGTATCCGGAGCAAGGGGGGCGTCATTCGCTGCAGGCGGTCGCTCGGGCCCCAAAAACCTTAGCCTGACTGGAGGAGACGACGCTGAGGGAGGAGCAAGCAAAAAAGAAGCAGGAGCAGTGGAAAAAAGCATCAGCAACTGCCCTGGACGGGACGCAACAAGAGAGCGGCAAGTACCTTTTTCCGGGGGCCAGTTGGTTCTCTCCACAGTTTGCAGGGCATCGACCTCGCTGGTGGTCCACTTCCACAGGCCACCTCACCTCGCTGACGCTGCTGCTACCACTGACGTTGGCCACTGAGCTGCGAAGGTACCGACTGACGATCAAAGGTGCCTGCCTGCCTGGACCTCCCTTCCCCGGGCATAGGTCATCCACCTCACAGTGCTGGCCGCAGCCTGGGCGGAAAAAAACCTCCCTTTCCAAGCAGACAGCAGCAAAGCTGGTACCGTAGCCCAGTGCACCGCACCACCAGCACCTGTGACCTTGCACCCAGTTGGCTGCTTTGCACAACATTCCACATTCATCCATCATCCACCTCACTTTCTCCCACCTACACCACCACCACCACCAAATCCTCACCTGTCTCGTCTACCGTCAGCCACGACCACGACGTCGTCGTCGAACCCCCCATTTTGCGGCACCCTTTTCTTTTCCGTTTTTTTCTCTTCCTTCTTCACATCGGCCTGAGTTCCGCTGAACTTTCGCCCCCCCACCAGAGCTGTCGTGTCGATACCGGCCGGCATTAATTGACTCCCATTTTTCCACTCCTGGAAAAAAAATCCTCCAACAACCCAACCTCACACAACAATCACAACCCAGCAATGTCTGAGGTACAGACTCGGACTGCCGCCTCGCGCGGCAGAGGTTCTGGTCGCGGTGGAAGAGGTGGATTCGCCAGTCGAGGTGGCCGCACCCAAGGCAGAACCAATGGCGATAAGTTCGACCACAAGGACACCGACGATGCGACTGCGTTTGAGGATCAAGGCGAGCTCGGCGAGCTGAAGAAGCAATACGGCAGCAAGACCCCTCTTATCAAGGAGCTGTTCCCCGACTGGTCTGAGCAGGACATTCTCTATGCTCTCCAAGAGACAGATGGCGACGAGAACCTCGCCGTCACCCGCATTGCTGAAGGTACGTACGCACCGCCGCCGCTCACCAGCAAGCCATGCGCACACATCACCCCCCTGCCCCGTCAGGCTGTCATCTTCAGCCTTGCGCAATTGCCCTCGCGCTTATCCGCCATTCCACCTCGCTGAACCTGCTTTCGCATCTGGTCTTTCTCTGCTAATTTTTCTCGACTCCAGGCACCATTTCCCAATGGGGTGAGGTCACAAAGAAGGCCCCCCGCTCCAAGGCCAAGGAGCCCTCGACTGCCAACCCCATCATCGACTCATCCAATGCCAGACCCGCTAGAGGCGGACGCAACGTGTCGGACGCTGGTCGCGGCCGCGGCAGGAACACTGAAAGAGGAGGCACTCGCGGTGGCCGTGGCAGAGCTTCGGCAGCCACCAATGGTACCCGCCACACCAAGGAGAATGCCCAGCCGTTGTCCGTCCCTACTGAGGAGTCCAACGCATGGAACACTCCCTCCGAGGCCAAGGAGGCTCCCGCCGCCGAGGACCCCTGGGCCCCCAAGGAGACCATCGAGAAGCCCGCCGCCGCTCCCGCTCCTGCTGCTGCACCCGAGGCCGCCAAGCCCGCCGCTCCTATCCCCAAGACGTGGGCCAGCATGCTCCGTCAGTCGACCGCTCCCAAGGCCGCCCCGAAGCCCCCCAAGGAGGAGCCCGCACCTAAGCCTGCCGAACCCATCGAGCCTCTGCCTCCCGTGGCCCCTGCTGAAGAGCCTACACCTGCGCCCGAGCCTGAGCCTGAGCCGCAGCCGGAGCCTATCGCTGAACTCCCCGCCGCCGAACCCGTTCAACATGAAGAACCAGCTCCTGCAGAAGTACCAACCGTCATTGAACCCGAAGTGGTTTTGCCGCCTTCCAAGGACCAACTCACTGAGACGAATCTTGAACAGGTAGTCGACGAATCGCATCCACCCGCGACTGCTACCGTTGCCAGCACGACCGCCGACTCCTGGGATCCCCGCCAAGCTGCCGCCAGCGCGACCGCGACCCCTCTGTCTGCCTCGCAGCAGCAACACCAGCCCATCCGTCCTGCTGTCCCTACTGCTAACAGCGGCTTTGCTGCTTCAGCCATCAAGGCCACCACCGAGAGGGGCTCTCGTACCCCGAGCTACCAGCGCCGTGTTCTGGACCAGGAGGAGGCTGTGCGCATGCCTGGCAACCGCGAGGTAGACCGCGCTGCTGTCCAGTTCGGTGCCTTCAGCCTTAACGACGAGGACGACATCGATGGCGACCGCGAAGAGCCCGAGACCAGAACTCAGCCCCCCGCCGACTCCCCCGTCGCCCACCCCCGAACCTCTCTTCCCCCCGCTCCCCAACAAGCTCCGGTTCCCGAGGCCATTGGCACCCAGAAGCCTGCTCCTGGCCTGCCCCCCGCGGCCGCCGCTACGCCCACTGGTATTGACATATCGACGACCCCTGTCCCCATTAATGCTAATATCCCCATAGGCCCTGCTAGCGCCGCTCCTCAGCCTCCTGCTTCCAACCAGAGTATGTTTGAGAACATGATAGAATCGCAGCTTCGTTCATCAGTCACTTACACCCAGTCAGCTCCTCAGCCCGCTGCTCAGCAGCAGTCTTACTCGCGCTTCGGCCAGGCTGGCTCTCAGGAGCCCGCTGGCTTCCAACAGAAGCCCATCGATCCCTTCACCCAGTCGAACCCTTCTGCCACCCAGAGCCAATTCGACAGCTTCCCCACCCAATCGCAACAGCAGAACCAGCAGCCCGGTGGAGCCTTCAGCTCTGCGCCCAGCGAATACTCCAACTACTACACCGCCGACCAACAAAGCCGACCCCCCTACAACTACTACAACCAGCCCTACGGCCAGCAAGGTGCTCAGGGTCACCAGGACAGCCTCTCCTCCCAGCAGCAGAGAGGTTTCGGAGGCTACAATGCATCGCAGCAGGCTGATAACCTCAGCCAATACCCCCAGAGCGGCGGCGTCCAAAACCAGTCTCGCTATGGAGGTGTCACCAGCGATGCCCAGAACAGTGGCCACACCACCCCGAACCCCACGGCTCAAAGCCAACAGCAGGCCAGCCAGGCTTCCCAGCCTCAGTCTCACGGCCAGCAGGGCTACCCTTACAACAGCCACCCCTACTACAACAACGCTTACTACTCCAACTACATGAACTACGGCCACTACGGCCAGCAGGGATACGGCGGCGCCCCTTACGGCAAGGGCTACGGCCACCCCTACGGAATGTCGCCCCAGGGCCCTTACGACCATGCTTCCTCTCCTGCCGGTGGATTCGGCCAGTCCTCTCTGCACCGTGCTGACAGCGGTCTGGCCTCTGGTCTGGGCAGTGATTTCGGTGCCCGCGCTGGCTCTGCCCAGTCTGGCAACCAGCCTGGTCTGGCCGGCGCCAGCGGCTTTGGCGGCATGCAGGACAGCTTCGGCGGCCGAGGCTCTTCCTTCCAGTCACCTGGTGGACAAGGCTTTAACAGCACCGCGCAGTCTAACGCTGCCTCCGCCGGTGATGACTTGAAGCCCTTCGGTGACAGCAAGCCCGGCTCCGGCCCTTCGCCTTCGCTCGGCGGCGCTCGTCCTGGCTCGGCCACCAACAACACCCCCGGTCAGTCCGGTCTGCCTCCTCCTCAGTCCGCCTCTCAGATGGGCGGCTACGGAGGCTACCCCAGCCACCTCCAGGGCCACAACCTCCACGGAAACAGTGGCTACGGCATGGGCGGTGCCACCAGTGGACAGCACGGCAGCGCTGCTCCGTTTGGATCCTACGGCCAGGGCGGCTACGGCAGTGGATACTACGGCAGCAACAACCAGCAGGCGCGCGGCGGCTGGGGCGGAAACTACCACTAGAGAGGTAGTGGTCGTCGGCCAACTCAGTCGCACACTGGTCCCTCAGGTCCCCAGCGATAGGATTGAGTGGCCGTGACCTGGGTGCCCCGGCACGTTGTGATTTGCGGTTTTGTCGGCAAACGAATCTCTTTGGGCCCGTGGACGGTTTTACTGCGGGCGGCAAGGATAATTCATGCATTCTCTCTCTCTACAGGGAAAACTTTCTTCTCTCTACTCATTACTCTGTGTATGGTCTTTGAGCGTGTGTACGATCTATCAAAAAAGAATCAGGGAGGGGAAACACTTTCGGATGGTCACCGGCCGCAACGGAACTGTGTTTTTTGTTTTCTTTTTCGCAATGGGGAGGTCTAATTAGGCTTGCTCGAAGAATGATCGCCGGTGGCGGATGGCATACGGCCTTGAAAACGCTTATTGACAGACGACGGATTTGGACTCGGCGGGAGGTTGGTCGTTGCCCAATGGAGGGCTGATATTGAGATTGAACTCCTTGGAAAAGGGAGGTAGTAGCCAATAAAGAATTTGGCAACACGATGTGTACAATGTGAATGATTTGATGCTTGATGAACCTCTCTCCAACCTTCTTGGTGTTGATTTCTAGCAGCCGGTCTTGATGCTTCCTGAGTCTAGGTCTTGCAAGTCCATCCCCTTTACGCAGCTTTTCGATCAGTTGCGACGAATTTTACCCGTTGAACCAGCGCTGGGCCAGTCTCACCGCCATAGTCACGACATCACATGCAAATCTACGCCGTACATGGAAAAAGCAAAACGGTGTCTCGGAGATGTAAACTCAGATTATGCGATTCTCCCTGGCTTTCGTGTGGCGTATCGGAGCAAAACGTGCCCAACGGTGGCCGTTTGCCTTAGATCGAGCTATCAGCGAGAAATGTCTCGAGACAAACGTTTGACAGGGCCGAAATCCTGCTGTCAGTCGGAGGATGAGACGAACCAGTAGAGTGACGGGCTGGCTCGTGCTTTATCGGAAGGAAGCGCGAGGGGGAGGGATTGAGTCGTCGTCGCCGGCTTCCTCCGGGTCCCTCCGGCGGCGTGCCTACATTAGCGCTGACGGCCAAGCCAACTCAATTCACACTCCCAACATGGCAAAATGGGTAGCTTTTTTAAATCTCACATTGTTGTTTTATGATGACTTTTTAATTTGAACGTAGATATATCATGAATCCAATGGCAATCCCAAACGCGAAGCAAAACAACGCCAGAAGCCCTAGTCCCAAGCATCCATCGCACCCTTTTTTTTCCCCTTCACATAACATCACACATGTAAAACATGCTCACGCCTTCGTAGATACCCTCACGACAATCTTACCCGCCGCCCTTCCCTCCTTGAGCTTCTCATACGCCTTGACCGCGTCCTCAAACTCGAACGCCGAGTCGATGACGCTCTTCACCTTGCCCTCGGCCATCCACGCCGCGATCTGCGCCAGGTCCGGGTGCGAGTTTTTGGTCATGAACGCCTCGAAGCGGTGCTTGGCACCCCCCAGAAACCCAGGGAGGAACATGCTCGGCACGAGGGACTTGACCTGCGCGAAGGAGACGGCGCCGCCGACGAACTTGAAGCGGCCGTCGGGGAGCAGGAAGTCGTCGGCGGCCTTGTACAGGTTCGGCGGGGCGTTGCCGACGTTGTCGACGACGAGGGCGAAGACCTTGCCCTGGGCCTTGAGGGCGGCGACGACGTCGGCGGTCTTGTAGTCGATGACCTCGTCGGCGCCGAGGGACTTGCACAGCGGAATCTTGGGCGTCGAGCAGGAGACGGTGACGTGGCAGCCGAGGGCCTTTGCGATCTGGATGCCGTAGGTGCCGGTGCCGCCGGAGCCGCCGTTGATGAAGACCTTGTCGCCGCGCTGGACGTAGGGCGCGATGGTCTGGTAGGCGGTCAGCGCGGCGGTGCCGACGGCGGCGGCCTGGTCGAAGTCTGGCGCGCCGGAGGTGGGCAGGCGGGCGCAGCCGTCGCGCTCGGCGAGGATGTACTCGGAGAGAGTGCCCTGGGGCCCGAGGGGGTCGAGGCGGCCGAGGACGGGGTCGCCAGGCTGGATGTCGGTGATGTCGGAGCCGACGGCGACGGCGGTGCCGGCGAAGTCCATGCCCGGGGACTTGGGGAAGGAGATCATGGCCTTGGCGACGAGGCCGAGGTCGGGGAATTTGTAGTCGGCGGGGTTGATGCCGGCGGCGGCGACGCGGACGAGGACCTGCGAGGGCTTGAGGTCGGTGGCAGACGGGGTGGGCACGGTGGTGAGGGCGAGGGACTGGATGAAGGTGCCCGGGGCGGGGATCTGCCAGCGGCGCATCTCGGCGGGGGGTTCTGGTGCGGCCATGTTTGTGGTTGTGGGTTTTTGGTAAGATTGAATGTGAGGTTGTATGGGTGAAGATGAGGGTGAATGAAGTTGGGTGAGGTGAGTTATGTGAGGTTGAGATTAAGCTTGGCTGAGTGACGTCTGAGAGCTGGCCGGCTGAGCTCCGGGTTGGCTGGGCAGGGTCATGATATAAAGTTTGGTGGTGAAGGTGGGGTGACGGAATGCGGGACCCCTCCTTCTCCCTCCTTCTTTTTTCGCCCCTGGACCTTATCTCGTTCACCTCGGTCTGTCTGATGAATCACTAACGGTGTTATGATTTCACACAACATTTTAGCTACCCCATCACACCTGTCCAACATCTGTCTGTATTGCTAATTCCCATAACAGGCTGCAAAATACATCCGCCCAACGCCTTGTCCGAGGCACTGCAGACTGAGACCTCCCACCGGTGAGGCACGCAAAATTGCGTCACCGACTCGGCTTGCCCCGATCCGGCTCCTTGCGCCGATGAGAACCAAAAAAAAGCCAGCGCACGCGGTCTTGGCCGGTCGGTGTTCCCGGGGAGCAGGGCGACAGGGCGCGCGGGATACGCGGGCTTTGGAGGTGTTCCCAATTCCGTGTTTGTGGGTATCCTTTTTCGTCCCCGGCCCATTGGGTCGCGCCGCCTGCCGATTGGCTTGAGGCCTTTTTGGGCGGGCTTTAGGTAGCTCGGCCAACTCATCGTGAAGTTTTTTTCCCTTCTCTATTCGCGTGTCCCTTGTCGGTCACAAGGGGGCTCAATGAGGCACGAACGGAAACGACTGGAATTCGACCTGTTAGCGTGCTCCGTGTCGGCCTTTTTTTCTGAGAGTTCTACCGCCTCCAAAGGCCCGTGTTTTATGAACCTCGAAGAATTGATTTATCGTCAGGCCAGCATTATTACGTGGGCAGCATTTATGTGCCCGGTTGAGATGTCGATTCATAAATAACACGTGCAAACAGAAAGAAGAAAGAAGGAAAGGCAAAGCTGCGATTTTCCGCAAGAACAGGACTTCGATGCAGACCTATGAAGATGGCGAGCAACTGCGTCTTGTCACAAATAACCCCACCCTCCTTCGTAATTTTCGCCCTTGTCCGCTCAACGCCCAAACATGTAAAGCAGATGTATCGACATTTGCTGTGCGGTCGGGTGGCAGGGAAAGACGATAGTATGGACGACTGTAACAACACTGTCCAGGATAGCGATAACGAGGCTGCTAAAACATAGCAGAACTCATACAGATACTTCTGCGCCTGGACAGCAAAATTATGAGACAAATAAGCCCTGAAGCCCTCCTCCAACCGATCATAAAGCGACATCTCCAGCTTTGCATCTTCTGGCTATGAGAAACGCACGGACCGGCATGTTGAAATAGTACCTTGAAATGCCTTGTCTGGCGTAGTGGTGAGGCCACACGAGGCGCATCAAGACTGTGAGGTAACTTCGAAATCAGCCTTACCGCCCATCTCGCAGATCATATAGATCCAATCTGAGCACCATTCTTGGCTGCAGCACATAACCCTATAAAACACACGCTGCCACTCCTCTCCTCCAAGGTCCACCTTTCGTTTGATTATACTGCAAATCAGATCAAGCATTCATTACATACAACCAAGCCGCTACCTCATACCTGCTTGAATACTAGGTACATCTCATCATGTCTAGCTACGTTGGCCTGCCTGCATGCACACACAAAAACGCTGACTCCCCTTCGGACGGCGCAACGGTCATCGAGCTCCTCCGTCTAGTATATCCGCTCAACTACTGTGATGGGTGGAAGAATCTATTTTCCTCGACCGAGAACCTGACACAACTGCTTTCAGAGGAAGGGTGTGTCTTGAACTCAAAATGTAGCTATGATCCGAAATTCGAGTCGCAACCACAGCCTTGCTGTAGGTTATGTATCTTCTTCGGGATTCGGGACCCTGGGAGTCGTCTTAAGTTCGAATATGAACGTATTCAACCGACGAGTACAGATGTCGCTGATGGAAGAAGCTCACAATCACGGCATCCTTTGGAGAACGTGTTGCTCAAGCGGATCATTGCCCCAAAGTTGATCCGCGGGTTATCCGAGCCACGTTGTCTGTTCACGGATAAGGGTTAGTTCAGTCGAGAGTCAGACCTTTCAAGATACAGAGATGAGTGGCTAGCATGGTTGAATAGGTAATGAGGCCGAAAGCTTTATCGCGCGGACGGCTGAGTTGGATATAACAGGCTGGGCTTCCAAGATTCACACTGCAGTGTCAAAATGCGAGGCCGGCCACTCGTGTGCTCCTCGACCCCACCCTTTACCAAAACGTCTCATCCAAGTACAAAACGAGGATCTGGGCGAAGAGAGTGTAAGGCTTTACGAGCCAAAGGAAGGCGAGATGGGTGACTACGTGGCTCTCAGCTATGTTTGGGGAGGCCCTCAGAAAGTCACCACAACACACAGCAATTTGGCGCAACATCTGGCCGCCATCTCGGTCAAGTCTCTTGGTAAATCCATTCGCGACGCTATAACCTTTGTGCGGGCGTTGGACATCAAATATGTTTGGGTTGATGCGCTGTGTATCGTTCAAGATGGCGATAAAATCGACGACATGAACAACATGGGCAACATCTATCGTGACGCTTGGCTTGTCATCGCAGCGGAGGCCAGTCACGGGGTCGAGCAGGGATTCCTCCACGAATGGCCTGTCAGGCGGTCGCCTGCTTTCGACATCAGTCTTCCAAATGGGCGCAGTGGGACGGTGATGATCGGGGCGGGGGGCCTGGATGATATGGAGTTCCAAGGACGACCTGAACCGCTACGATCCCGGTGTTGGGCTTTTCAGGAGTCAATGCTGAGTCGCCGTCTTGTTACCTTCCACTCCGAGAGCGTTAGTTATAACTGCGCATGTTTGCATGGCGTTGTGTTCGCATTCGACAAAACCAGAAGCTTTGAAGGGCACAGCAAGATCCCCCACTATAGCTGGGGGCATGTCACAGGGGCAGTCATGAGCAATTCCGGTGGACCGACTCTTCCCAGTATCTTTCCACATTATCTGATAGGAAAAGGTCTGAGAGCTTCCGCGCAATCAGATGGCGACACCGACGCTGGCGATCTCCCATATCTGATTCTCGCTTGGCGCGACATCACCTGGGAATATGCTGAACGACAGCTTACAGTCTGGCAAGATCGTCTCCCGGCCATTGCTGGTATAGCCACTCAGTTTGCAGCGTCGATCGGCCCCGAAAATTACTTAGCCGGGTTGTGGAAACCATACATCATCTCCCAGTTAGCATGGTTGCCAGCCCCTTTGCTGATGGCTGTTCCAGGAAGACGACCCTTCGACAAGGACGTCCGCGGCCTATGGGCAAAGAGACACGATGGATCCGTAACGGGGATATACCTACCGTCCGGCAAGGATCGTAAACGGCGCGCCATTTTGAATCCAGTCAAAGCTGACGGCTTCACCACCGGCACGTACCTACCCTCTTCGCCGGCCGCAACCCTGGCTAGACATAGGAATCGCAGTCGTTCGGCAATCTTGCAATCGCCGACATGGTCCTGGTGTACCCATCAACGTTCTGGCCGCTGGTTGCACGGTCTCAGAGAGGACGCTGTTATGATCAGCAGCACTCAAACACCCGTCTCTGATAAGGCACCTTTCGGCGCCGTCCTCCAGGCGACTATCACCATCCAAGCCCAACTTCTTCGCCCCTCCACCATGAAAAAATGGTTCAACTGGTCGGACAACTACCTCTATATGGACTATAGTGAAGACGTTTTGGCCGAGTGCGGCGTGGAGCCCTCGCTCTACATGTTGCTTGGTGCCACGATTTTTCATGATCGGTGCGACAAATCACCAGAGACAATTGGGCTGGTCTTGAGAGCATGCAAAGAAGATAGCCAACGGTGCTTGCTTGGGAAACCCACGCGAATCCCGCACTACCAGCGAATCGGTATTATAAAGGTAGCAGGTTGGCAGTCTGATGTTTGGCATGGTCCCGAAGCTCAACGTGCTGTTGTGACCCTTATTTGAGACTGTTGGTTTTATTGACAATTAATTGCCACGATGTCGCTTTTCAGCTGCACACCTTTATACTTGCCGTGATATATGTGTCCTCACAACCTAAGCATTTTTACAAGGGCAATAAAGGTACGGCACCATTCTTTTACGCAGTTTCTTCCCTAAGCGGTTCCTCACTTCGTACTATGCCTTAGATGATGTGGAGTGCCAGGATACCTCTTCTGTGTGTTACCCACCTCCCAGATGAGATTTATAGGGGCCTATAGACGCCTGAAGCTTATTCTAACCCAGAGAGATCGTCTGAGTAGAAGGATTAGAGTCGAGGGCTGATATCAGACTTAGCACCAGAAGCAAAAGGTCAAGCTATAATCAAAGGCTGAGGAAAGGTCAAGTGATCTGTGATACCTAGTAGTCGTTCTCGTACACGACAAAATTGACCAAGGAATCACTCATCGTGGAATGTATCCCAACTAATCTGATCGCGAGTCAACTGGTCACGACAGGATATTTCAGCATTGCAAAAGTAAAGACTTTATTAATATTGACAACATGGGCTTAGTTGACTCAATGATAAGCTGAAAACAAGACATAGGAAATCTAGTGCGGCAAACAAATTAGAAATACTTCACTTTCCCAGTCTTGTCCAACTCATCCCTGACCGTATCGTCGTTGTACACCAACTGAACGTTGTGCTCGAGGTCCGCCATCGCTCTCACCCTCTTCCTCCACACGTGAGACGAGGTAACTCCCGCTCCGGCATCCACAAAATCTCCGTCTCCCGGCGGCGGCGTCCTCATCGCGAGGACCAGCAATCCCTGCAGATCCCACCAGGGAGCAATGCTCAGCACACGCATGTGCGGCCACATGCCACACATCTCCAAGAGAAGACCACCAACGATCGTGAGCAGGTACATGATGAGGACGGCAAGGTACATGTACAGGATCGCCTTGCCAAACTCTAGTGCCCGCGACGGCTTGCCGGTGCCCCAGCCGTATCTCTCGACGCCAAAGTCAAAGCCCATCGATTCCGAGAGGAGGTCATCTTGCGCGGCGCGGGCGTTGATGTGTTTCACGACCGTCGGCCCGGTGGTCTCGTTGGCGGGAGTGCCTCCCTTGATGTTGAAATGGACATTGGACTGGACGTTGGAGTTGGCCACCGGGAGTTGGTTCGCCGACTGACCCGATTCCGAGCGTATCAGCGCCGTGCTGCTCGATCCAGTACGCGCGATGGCGTCGGTGAGGTACACGCCGAACACCTTGGCCAGGAACACCTCGGCGCGCGCGGAGTCGATGGTGCTGTTGGTGATCCTGGGGTTCGTGATGTTCTGCGCGACCTCTGCGTCGACGAAGTTGCGCACGAGACTCTCTGGCGGGTTGTAGTACCGCAGCGCATCGGAGCCGTTGAAGGCGACGGAAGAGGCGAAGGAGACTGGGGAGAGGTACTGGAACCAGCTCGGGTCGAACTTCATCACGTACCCCCCCGAGTTCCCGTTGAAAGACGTCTTCTGGTAGGTCTCGATCATGGCCTCGGGGTCGTTCAGGTCAGATACCAGCCCGCCGCACTCGCTCGAGTCGGTCGAGACGTCGGCGGCAACCCAGGTTGCCAGCATTGTGCACGAAAAGAGACGGTCTTTGCGGTAATCGCCGTTGACGTCAGGGAGCTGACCCGCGACTTCGATGATGGGCGTGCCGTTCTGGAAGACGAAGAAGTCGGTGGTGATGAGCTGGAGGTGGCATTCTTCCGAGTCCCAGGCGGACACGTCGAGGGAGCGGGCCGGTGATGCGCGCTTCATCTGCAGACAGGTGGCGTCGCCGAAGCAGTTGAGGGATGATATCGGGTACACCAGCGAGCCGTTGTTGGCGATGACGTCTGACTTGGGAACGACATTGCACAGCGACTGGATGAAGGGTTGGTAGATTGGGCTGCTCGAGTCCGGGTTTTGGGCGTTGACCCGTCGGGTGCTGAGGCGGTACTGGGAGTCATCTTCAGTGATGGTGTTCCCGTTCTCGATGTAGTTCTTGACCAGGCCGAAGTTGATGTTGAAGTGGTGGGACGGGGTGGTCGACAACACAGGCGGATCCCGCGTGTCAGAATCGGCGGTTACCTCGGTGACCATCAGTTGACGGCTGAGATTCGTCGAGGGACTGGAGAATGAGACGGTGTCCTGCAGGCCGGTCGTAGAGTAGCCCTTGGCCCAATTCCAGACGGTGGTGAACCCGCCGGCGGGACAGGCGGCGTTGTAGATGCCCTCGGCCTCGACGCAGACCGGCGTGTTGTTCCAGGGCGCGCCGTCGGTGAAGAGCGTTGGCCATACCTGGTCGGGCTGTGTCTGGTACAGGAGCGGTGCGCTGACGCCTCCGAAAGCCTTGTTGTGGTTCATCCCGTACCACTGGAGTGATGGGAGAAGCAAGGCGCCGGCGGCAGGCAGTAAGAGGAGGCTGAAGATGGTTGCGAAGAGGACGAAGAGGGCAAGCATCATCTCCCAGAATGAGAGGCTGAGAAAGCCGTGACGCCAGAAGGGTAGCGAGAAGATGTAGCGAAAGTCACCGACGCGATAGGCCCCTGTGAGAAAGCCAAGACGAACGCCGCCACCGATAAGTCTGCGGCGGAACATGCTGATGGCCATGGCGGAGAGTGAGAGAATGAGGAAGATCTCATAGATCTTGAAGGCAAACAAAAGAAAAACCTCGACGCCTTTGGGGCTCAGGCGGACCCTGCTGGGGCCTGTCAAGCCGTACCAGTAGCGTTCTCTCGAGGCAAGCCATAGGATGATGGCGGTCAAGATGATGGCGGGGATGTGTATCATCCATCCGTGGAGGAAGCGTCGCCAGCCATGGCGGGTGATGGGTTTGCCTACTCGGCGGTGCTCGTCTGATTCTCCGTGGTCATGGCTGGTCTCACTGTAAGTTGGGCCGTTGAAGGGATCCTTCTCAGGAACGTAGTGTGAGGAGGTTCCTGGGGGTGGGGACCCTAGGGGCTGTCCTCGAGGAGCTGGGGGCTGAGTAGGAGGCTCTTGGGGCGGCCCTTGAGGTGGCGGTCCCGTTGATCTTTGCATGGCGACTGCTTGAGGTGGCGCCTGAGACGATGGTACTTGGGAAGTTGGAGGTTGAGAATCCAACGGTTGAGAAGGTACCCTTTGAGAAGTTGAAGGGTATGAAGTCGATGGTTGAGGAGGGACTTCTCGGGATGCTGTTAATTGAGAAATTGGTGGTAGAGAAGGTACTCCTTTAGAAGTTGAAGGGCGAGAAGTTGCCGGCTGAGGGACTTCTCGAGGTAGTGCCAACTGAGGAGGCACTGGGGAAGATGGCTTCTGAGGGATAGTAGGCTCTGTCGTGTGTAGGACAGGAGGATGGCCATTGAGACCTGTGCTTGGGGTATGATGATGTTTTCCGGGGTGGGGAGTGTCTCCAGTGATATCCTTGTGGCTGCCTGTGATTTTGGGATTCCCAGAGCTAGTAGTCGTGGTGGTTTTGCCGTTGTGCCCATGCTCTAAGATAGAGGTGGTGCCCGGGGCAATTTGATAGCTTCTCGGTCTATCCTTACCCCCACCAGAACTATTGGTGATGACTGTGTAGCCACCGTGAATATGATCAGGGCTTGGGTCATTGCCCGGAACATTGTGATGGGTCTTGGTTGTGTCCTTGTTCCAAGAGCTGGTATCGGTGTTGGTGTAGTTGTGATTATGCCCATCAGGGCGGGTGTTGTTGCCAGGGACGTCATTGTAGCTTCTAGTAGTGTCGTTAGTCGCCGAGCTGTTGTTGATGATAGTATGGCCACCGTGAGTATGTCCACGCTGAGAGCTAGAGCTGTTGCTGGGGACCTCGTTGCGGCTATTGGTCGTATCATTCTGCCTACTAGTGTTGGTGATGGTGTGACTGCCGTGATTGTGACCATGACCATGCTCGTGGGTGTTGCTGCCCGGGACGTTGTGGTGGCTGATGGTCGTGTTGTTACGCTCAGAACCGGGGTTACCCGAGACAGTGTTGTGCCCACCATCTCTGTGGCTATGCTTAGAATGGTGATGGTGATGGCTGTGAGACTCATTGCTGTGACTTCTGGTACTCTCGCCATCCTCGGTAATGCCTTGAAGAAAGCCTTTTGGACTAGGTCTATGCTCGTGATTGTGGTGCACAACATGACCTCCGTCGGTTTGCTCGCGAGAGTTGTTGTTGGTGACGTCTCTGGAGACTCCATGGGGACCATCATGTCTCTTATGGTGCCCATGGGTAGAGGTATTGCCAGAAACGTTGGGGGTCCCGTTGTTGGAGGTGGTGTGCGTCGTGGTGGACACTTTGCCAGATGTGTTGCTCGTGGGTCCGTCGACATCCCTGGTCTTGTGCTTGTGTGCATCTCCGGTCACCTTGTTTGACCTATCCCCAACGATGATACCAGAGATGTTATGGGCCCTGTCGTGGGTCGGGCTTTGCGGTCGATGAGAGTGATTACTCCAGTCCTCGTAGAAGCCGCCTCCACCACCTCCACCTCCATCGCGGGCGACGTGAGTGACGTGGTTAGATGCCTCATTGGAGGAACTACTGGAACCTCCGCTGCAAATATCACAGCAGGCTTCATGAGAAGTATCGTTGTTGCCAGAGCCGTGAGGATTGAAGTCGGTCCGAATCTCCCAGGAGGGACTTTGAGGCAGGTCGGGCGAAAAGCTCTCCGAAACCATATGCGATGAACTCTTGGGGGCAAAGTTCAATGCCTTGGGAACATCTCCATGACCGTCATAAGATGACCTGTGAAAGCTCTGAAGGAAGCTCTGACGTCTACCCTGGGAGAAGTCGGTTGAGTCGTGATGGGAGTTCCCTCCGCGAGTGGCGTATGAGGTGCTCTGTGGGAAGTCGCGTGAATAGCTCTCAGCCATCGCGTTCGAGGCATCGTTGGAGGAACCTTCATGGTCCTTGTGCGAAGAGCCGCCATAGAGAAGGCTCTGAGAGAAGCTCTTGGAAAAGTCGCCCGAGCCGATGCGTGAGTCACCGCCGCTGTAGGTGGTGTAGGAGGTGCTCTGCGGCATGGTGTGGGAGAAGGTTCGGGAGACATCGCTGGAGGAGCTGTGAGAAGTGCCAACGGAGCCTTGTCTGCACTTGTCGCAAGACGTGGCGTCGTTGCAGATGTCGCAGGTAGGATCATGAGAAATTGTGCGGGAGACCTGGTGGGAGATGCTATGGGATCGCCTGCGGGGGTCGCTGCGCGAAGCGTCTTTGGAGTTGCCGTAGGACTGGGAGGAGCTTCTGTGGGAGGTGACGTGGGACATGTTGCGAGGAGTTCTGTCTTGTGAGAGTTGGCGGGTGATTTGGCGGGCGACGGAACGATTCTCGCGGGAAACAGAACGGTTCTCGTGGGAGATACTGCGGTGGCCGCCGATCGAATAGGGAGGAGAGTACATGATGTCTGGTGAGGTCAGGTGTGTGAACCGGTCGATAGTATCCGGGGGCCGCATAGAAGAAGACTGGACAATGCGCAAGGGAGGCTGTTGTCGATATCGAAGTTGGGGCACAGTTCAAAGTCCAGATTCTTCAGCACTCTCATATATATAACTCACAATACTAAGTCTTCTGTTTGTTATCATCGACCGCAATCATATTAGCTGCGGCACTGAAACCTCAGCTGTGATACTTAAGCCATGTCTCGACACTCAATGCCGCCACACTACCACCAATTCTTCAGCATCTACAGCTCACTGTTGGTATCGATATGCAAAGCGTAAAATCAAGGTGACTTACATCCACGGAGACAAGATCGAATGGGGACGGCAACGATACTGTCTTAGGAAAGGGGTGTTATTCAAACACCATGTTCGCAGACCAAGGAGCGATAAACGCCCCAAGTAACCAGATGTAGTTGCAACAAGATAGAATACCCAGCAAGATCATCAGTATGGAGCTCTAGGGACACGAAAATGATTCGAAAACAGATTCCCCATCACCAGTTTAGCAAGTTCACTGTCTCAAGAGTTGAATGTTCGTAACATGTATCCCAGACGGGCACATGAAATCCGATGTTGTCAGTATCGAACAGTGCGGAATCCCATGTCTGACTCGGCCGCCCCGACGGGGATGAAGCCAAACCAAAAACATACTGGCTCAAAATCAGGGTCTGAGACATATGCGCGGATTTCCCAAAGCGGCTCGCTCATAAGGCTCTGAGGATTCCAGGGGCTCATTGAGCTTTGCCTGTGATGGGTCTCAGATCCCCTCCCAAGAACTCAAGACAATGTCTTTCATGGGGTCCACATGCTGCTTCAACGTTGGCGACAAACTGGCGAGGGAAATAGTGATCCCTTGGTAAGCAGGTAGGGCATCTCGAAGATCTTTAATCGTTTTCATCTCACATACAATTCTCAAAGTGAGTGAAAAGAGATCCACAACACAGATTGTCGGAGCGTTTTCGAGCCAGTACTTTTGTTGGCCACAACGAAGTACGATGGTGAACATGGAATCATTTGGGAATTGTACGCCGGGTATGCTATGAGAAGAGGAAAAAAAACATGCGCCGGCAGGCAAAAACATTCCTTAAGTTCTTGTTTCTGAATTGTCCCCAAGATGGTAATCACAACCGGACCGTATCGAACGGCAACTGAGTGCGTCTCGATAGGAAACCAAGATGAAAGTGAAGAAGCAAGTGTCATGTGATTCTTTGCCAAGCTCCCAGAGATGCAGATTTGTCTCAGCAGCAAATCTCCGTGCAATCTGCGGGACCATGCCATTACAAGAACGGATACAGCAGATCTTCCCCTGTTGTGGTGGCTTCAGATGAGATCCTCGGCCCGTTTGGGCTAACCCAACCACGCGGACCACGCAAGAACCCCGCGGGTACCTCACTTTTGCATGCAAGTCTACCCGGCCGAGCACCTGATGTCCGGCCGAGGGTCGAAAACGGGCCGCACCGGAGGGTCGGGTCGCTGGATCGAGATACGGAGTGACCGTGGCGCAGAGACGTCTCAGTTTTGTCGAGAAATACTTCCCCATCAAATGTAGCGTGATTCAGGCATTATCCTATTCCAACCCTCTCTCCTCTTCTTGTACGCGATGGCACTATACCCATGCTGGGACGGCTGAGGCTCAGATGAGCGTGAACCCCACGGATCAACTATGCCAAGACGGCTTGGCAGGCTTCACGGCACGGGGATGTGTTGGGTTCATCATATTCGGGTCTTGTATCACCTGAGATTGAAGAACGATTGTGTTACCGTGTCTGATTATTTACTGTTATGACTTTGAATGAAGAGTACCTTACCCGTATTCGGTGATGCGTAGATCAAAATGACTCCGAAAAAGGCCTCGTCTGTTGGGTGAATGATTCAACGCCTGATTCGGGACGGGGTAGAGCTTCATCCGATGGCAATGTCCCAACGTCGGGCCGGCAACAGGGTCTCAAATGGGCCATGATAGACATGCTAGGTGTCTCTGTGCAAGAAGATCTCATTTTCTCACATGCCAGATCTAGTTTCTGCGTGCCCCAAATTCAAAAGGAGTACCGTGCAATGCTCGGATGTAGATATGGTGGTGAGGTTCACACCCGTAAGATGGCTAGCCTGTGTTCAAAACCATGCGGAGTCCTTCAAAATCAGCCGCTAGATTTGCAAAGCACCTTGTGTTCTCATAGGCTTTTTTTTCGGAGAAACTGCAGCCCGACCTTGACGTCCAACGAGATGCACGATGTCCGAATCGACAGAACTTCCGTCAAGATGCTCAATCTTCAAGTCATTCAACAAATTCTCATGTCAAGCACAACATGCTTCGAAAGCCCGAGCTTCAATCTACAATTTGTACAAAGTTTAAAAGAATTTGCCGACTAATGTAGACAGTAGCTTCCTCATCAGCATTCAGGTATCCACAAGAGATTACAAGGTGTTTTGTGTATCTATACCCGGTGACGTTCATGGATGGCCAATAAGAAAGACTGGATTCGCGATACCTTTTGGAACTACTGGTGCGCATGAGCTAGAAAGAAATTCTTTCCTTCGCCAAGTAAGCCGCCCTTGACTTCTGCGGCGATCCCATTTCTCCCGTCGCCATTATCATTTCGTCAATCTTGTCAACTGGGTGGGCACGAAGGATTCATGGGACAGCCATGTACCGTGCCATAGCACTCATACTATCCTTGTTACGGCTTCGGCCCCAGACAGGAGGTTGGCCATCTACCCCCAAGCCCCCAAATTGCCAGAGAAGAATAGATGTAAGGGCTGACACACATCCTGAACCAGTAGAAGAATGCGCGCTTCCATGGAATCCCCACCAATATTCTCCTATTTCCCGTCTGCCTGACGAGCTGCTTCTACAGATTATGGCTTTGCTCCGACCCATCGATCTGTACTGCCTACGCCAGGCCGCATCGGTCTTTAATCGAATTTTCTACGACAACAAGTTCTCCAGATACCACGAGCGCTTAGACTATGCAAGTCTTGCTCTCGGTTACATGCAAGAGAGTCCCGAAAAAACATATATTGGATTTCGGTTCCCCGAAAATACCGGTTCCAAACGTTACTTCCAGAGAATGTTACTCCCTCGGCTGAAGTACGATAGCTTATGCAAGTTCTGCTTCACTGCGTGGGGAGGCTTTAGACATCCGGTCATCGGCGTCCACCTTCTAGCTGGAAATACGTTCATTGGAAATACAGATGATTGTTGGCGACGCCGTGAGTATTATCGCCGGTTGTGGTGCCACGGCTGTTTGGATTACCACACTGTAACGAAATTTTCGCCTAAAATGAGGCGCAGCGGCATCGCGAACTTCTTGAATAGGTCATGCATCTTGCACGAAGGGCGTACGAGAATCTGCCCTCACGTGGACGTGGACTGGCGGAAAGTGTTCTCCAGCCCTGAGAATGAGACAGAGATGTGTTGCACATCGTGTGCGGCAATGCCTGGGAGGCTAACTGAAGCCAGATTCGGGAGAGATGGTTTCGAATTCAACATACTCTGCTCAATACCTGTGCTAGACGTCGATGATGCGAGTGATGGCAGCATAAGTTGGGACGTTTTGGAAGGAAAGCTCAATGATCTTTCTGCCGATGCAACTCGCGAGGGTGATCTCTGCCCCCATGTCAAGTATAACGACGGAAAGCTTCTCCAAAGCTTCCACAAGTCCAAGCCCGTGCGCCTGTCGGACATACAGACGGAAGATATATGTGTCGAGTGTCTTACGTCGAAGATATTTTACCCGGGGAGCTCAACCTGTACCGGGATGAATGTGGTTAATGACCATGAGCCAGTTTCAATCGCAAGGTGTGATGTTCACTCCAATACGTATTGCTGTTCTGGGTGCCATACAACCTACAAATGGATTAGGTTGGAGGGACGTCTCTCGATCATGCGGATGAGCACAAGCTATCTCAAAGGCCCAGCGCCTTGGATTGGTACACTGACTGATCCATATTCTTACGGGTTGCATACGGACGACTGGCTGGAACATGTCTCATGGTGTAAAGATCCTCGCTGCGGGAATTGGATAGGCGGCACAGCCCATTGCAGGTTCCTCGACCGCAAGGGGCCCCCTGATTTCTGGACCAACTATCATGGCATGGGGTACCTTGAGGCTATCGTCATATCACTGTATGAGAAGTGGTGGATAAACAAAGGCATGAACTCGTTTGCTTTTCAGGAGAATCTTACTAACGGACTTAGGCTAATCCGTATATTCGACGGCTTTTTGGTTGTCAGTCTGTTCCTCTGGAGTCGCATCTGAGCCACTATTCGCAGAAGCATCTTTCTTATCTTCTTTTGAAACGAAGAACCATGCACTGGAAACAGACAAAAGTGTTCCGCACAGAAGACCTATGGAGCAGGAATAACTGATGCGGTAGCTCGGGCCGAACTTGGGCTGGTAGATTTGCGGGCCCTTCGACACACTTTAGAATTTCCTCTGATAAACACAATAGAGAGGGATGTACGTACGACTATACCCATGAGCTGACACGATGCCTGCAAGTCATAGGGTAAGCTTGTTGTGGTGTCTGATTGTTCCAAAAGTTGGGCGCTTACGTTGGTGAGACCAATTGCCAGACCTGCAGTCGTGGTTCCCTTCGCTGCTCGAATCCTCTCTGGATAAGCCCATGTCAGTATTTCTAAACTTGTCATCTAGTATCAGCTTTTACCTGGCCAGATGATAGCAAAGAAGCTTTGCGATGCGGCTGTTGCAATCATGACGAAGATGTACTTTGCGATGGGATGTTTCACTGTGATTAGCAGGACGTAACAAACGATTTGAGCTGCCTCTAAGCCAAGGCCAGCAACCCAAGGGCTCAGTCTCCGGGTATGTACGAGAAAGGCGAGCGATAGTAGGATGACAAAAACCAGGGTGAAGGGTGGCTGTGAAGATCAGCATTGAGGAGTCGTGGGTAGGGTCGGTCATACCATTGTCATGACTTGCGAGATGGCCGTATTAGATATTCCGAGTTCATAAATGACGGTTGGTAAGACAAACGAGATCCCCCATCCTCCTATTCCATGAGTAATCCAGATCATCAAGAATGGTATGAAAGTAGAGCTGCGGAAGAGTTCTTTAACTTGCTCGAAGTTGATGGTCTTAGACTTCATTGTTGGTGCTTGCTCGGGGAGGTCGGCGAGAACGATGTCTCTTTCGGTATCTGTGAGGAAATTCGCTGTTTCCGGATCTAGATCTGTATTAGCAATGGTGGGTGAAGGGAAAGCAAGATCATAGTCAACTTGCAGTTGGGAAGGAAGAAATAAGTGTAGATCCCACAAAGGATAGCCGGAATGCCTTCGAGAATGAATAGCTGTCGTCGAATCAGTCCACGCCCCAATACTTCAATCGCGGGATACGTACCCATCTCCAGCCAGCAAGGCCGCCAACACCATTCATGAAAGAAATCGCATAGGCTGTAGGCTGTTAATTAACGCTCATAAGAAGGATCCGAGGCTGGAAGTTACCTAGAAGACCGCTGATGGTCCCCGAAAACATCCCACAAGCGTAAAAGAACCCCTTCAAGGAGTTAGCATTGATTTCAGCGACGGCTCGAATGCACGTACGATTCTCAGAGGAAGCTTTTGTGTCGGATACCAGAAGCTGAGATGATACAAAACTCCAGGATAGAAGCCAGCTTCTGCCAGTCCGAGAAAGAAACGGCAAGCCAGAATTCCGGCATAGTTCTGAGTCGCTCCCTGACATATTGAGATGATTCCCTATCGAGTGTGTCAGCGACGTCTTCTCCCGTCTTGAAGTCCCGACATAAGGTACCCATGTGATCATTATTCGGCTCATCCAAATAGACGGCGAGAATCGTTTCAGAGCAAGCGTCGCGAGCGGCTCAAAGACCATGTAAGGGTAGTAGAAAATACTTAGTGCCCAAGCCCATTGCGAACTCGATAGATTTCCAAGCTGTTTTCGTATGCCGGTACCTTCTTCCAGGTTGATGATGGCTGCGTTACTAATATTGCTGACATGAATTCGCATAATAAGGTACACGAATGAGTACCATAGCAGGAGCCTCTTGTCAATCTTTCGATGAGCGATTTGGAGGAGCGTCTTTTCCTCCTCGGACTCATTGACGCCGCTTGTTGACCGGGCTTGTTCGCCCATGTTGGTGGAGGGCCGGCTGCGTATCTAAGCGACGATGGAAGACACTGGTTACTTGGTGGCCTGGGATGAAGCTGGTGGTATTGGAAGTGTGTCTGTCTGCAAGACATTTAAGATTCCCCGTGATGTATATAGTCTCCACCCCTGCATTTTCACCAAAGATCTGTTCCGATCCCGCAGGTTTGAAGCCATACCGGGGCTGCGAAGAGCACGCCTTACTGCGGGGCCATGCGCAATACGCCATCGCATGTAATCCCCGAGAATGGTTGCGAATTACACCATTATTATTACCATTGAAGAATTCTTATCCCCGAAATTATTAGCGTAGCTTGATGCATCCGATTGTGATAGTCGACCGGGAACAGGTGACAGGGCATCAGCAATAAAGCTTCGCTGGCTTGACTTTGCATTTTAGATGATTTCTCAACTACTCAATGTAGTTAAATGCGCGGACGAGTCACCTTTGCTACTTCTTTTTCATGGCTCTTAAGCGGCACCTCAACAAAACCGAAGAAGAATATCTAGGGGGGACGAACACCAATTTTCTTCCACAATGAACCTTTTCATGTATAGATATATACAGAAGTAAATTCAACGCAAACATCATATGATACTGCTCTGTCTACCTAGGAAGTACGCATTCACTAATGCCATCTAGCACTTGATAGCCGTTCCACCCGTCATGGCTACTGTCACGGTCTGGGATTTTGAACTAGCCCAAGGGGCCGCTTTTAAACGGGCTGTCGAACGGATTGTGCAGTCCTAACCCTCGAGGGACAAGAGGATCACGTTTCTCTGCTGTCGGCCCAACCAGATACACCCTCTCAACCTTAACCTGGCTGGAGTCAATGTCTGCACCGGCCTGCTTCAGTATGCTGCCGATACCTGTGGAATTCAGCTCCAACTCACAGGCCAGCATGAGTGCGCTGTCGAGGTATCGCCTTATCCTGCGGCGAGTTCCGCTGATTTGCGCCCTCCTTAGCGTCAGCAGCCACGATACCACGGTCTCTACGGTTCTCTTGGCCCTCGCCTCCACGGCTAGCTCCAGCGGTGAGCGCCCATACATGTTCCGCGCATCCCACGCCGCTCCCCTGTGAAGTAGCTCGCGAGCGTAGCCTGCATTGCCCGCGCCGCACGCCCGATGAAGTGGCGTCATCCCGAACCGATCCACGGAGCCGATGTCCATCCCTAGCCGCAGGAAGCGCGACGCCAGGATTTCACTGTTGTATCGGAGGGACAGATGCAGGCAAGTCTGGCCAAATGCGTCTGTGGCCCGCCAGTCGGCGCCGAGGCGCAAGAGCAGCAAAGCAGTTTCAGCGCCACCGCCTCGGATAGCCTCGTGGATAGGTGATTTGCCATTGTTGTCGCGTCCATTAATGTTACAACCTAGCGTAACGAGCTCTTCGACCGCAGACGCGTTATTAGCTATGGCCGCGTAGTGCAGCGCGGTGCGGCGGTCGCGGTCCACAAAGTTGATATTTATCGCCGCCTTTCGCGAGGTGACGAAGCGGTGGATCATGGCTCCATTGGCCCATGGGGCGATCAGGTGCAGGAGGCTGGCGCCTGTACGAGTGATCCCAAAGTCGGCATGGTGTATGCCTATGAAGAAATCAAGGGCAGCGCGGTAGCCTTGGTCGGCGGCCATGTGGGCGGGTGACATGCCAGCGTTGTCCTTTTGTAAGTAACTTGCCCCTGAGGCAACTAAGATTTCTAGGGCAGTGATGTTCCTGTTTGTGACGGCGATGTGGACAACTGTCAACCCGTCGCGGTCTTTGTTGTTGATAATACCGGCCCTGCTGTACTGACTAAGATCCATCTTGTCGATGTCCCAGTTGTATTCCGCGGCCCAGTGCAGAAGTGTTCTCCCCACATGGTCTGAGGAAAGAGACTGTAGACGATATTTTCGCTGAATCATATGCACGATGTCTTCCCAATTCTGGTTTGCGCACAGATGAAGAAGGTCGTAACGGTCCACTTCGCTGCGCAATGAGACGCGTTGGTTTGGTAGACGGTCCATGATCCAGAGCAACTTCTCCCGGCAGCCAAGGAACGCGTAGTGCGCCAACACATGCATTTTTGTGTCTGGATTCTGCGTGAGCACTTGGTCCGGGAACACCCTTAGAAATATTTCCTCGACATCCGTCCAGCCGTGTCTACCGGCAGCGAGCAGCTGACTGGTCCCGAGAATTGGCATGGAGAAGGTTCCCTGAGGGACCATCGTCATAATTCTTGACAGAGACGGCCCCCACATCTTATGCTTAAATGCCTTGAGATAGGGAGTCTCCGAATATGAATCTTGAATGCCAAGATCAATATCTGGATGGGCTAGAAGTGCGTCGACTCCCGGTCTGTTCCCCCAATCGAGTGCCTCGTGAAGCGGTGTGGCAGATGCGTAAGGAACGTTGACGTTAATGTGGGGATGATCTATCAACCTTTGTGCGTAGAATACATCGCCCACATAACGAACTGCTTGGTGAAGTGGCGAACGAGAACCGCGTGGGCCGTAGTTGATTTGAATGTTCTCATTGCGCAGGAGGGCGCAAAACGAATGCTTCCGTCCGCAGACGATGGCCCACGACAAAGGTGTGACGCTTTCGTCGCCCGAGCCGGCCGCATGATTGACGTTGGCACCTTCAGCTACGAGACCCTTCACGATCTGTGGACAGTCTCCTCGGGCTAGAATCCGAAATAAAGCTGCACTTTTTGCTATCGCGGAGCTAGTACCTTGCTCTTCAGGCTCTAAATGCACTGAGATGGTCCTGTCCAGGTGGGAGTCTTAGCTCTTTTTGCGAATCGCTAACCACATGCTGTGGCAGTAGTACGCTTGTCGAGTAGCCATGAACGTGACAAGTGCGCTATCAGCATGGGAGCTGGAAGTCGCGGCTTCATAATGGCTGATGTAATGTCGGAGTGCGTAGGCAAAGCAAGGCGTTCTAGCGAATGACTGGACGTGAGTGGCGCCCAAGTCGGCTACTTCGTCCAATTGTTCGCGAGAAATCCAGGAGGTGGCGAATGAGCTTCTCAATCTCTTCTGAGCTTGACGCACATCTTTGATACCTTCGCGCCAGAAGTCTGCTTCTCTATTCTCCAGTTGAAAGATAGACATGCACAAAGTGTGCATCATGGCGTGCGCATCCGCCTCTGAGACCACAAAAGTTGAAAGCACTTGTTGCTCCTCTGGCGAGAGGCCCTTCATGCCTGTAAACAGGTCCTTGGCAGAAATGTGGGAGAAATCAACCAAACCGTCCTCGGCTCTCGTTATGAGGTATCCACACGCCTCAGCTAAATACTTCTCGAATTCGTCACTCTGGGGCTGGAGTTCAGACCATAATGACGGCCGCTTGTCTAGCCTTTGGGTGTATAGGGTGGCAAAAAACGCAAGTTGGCGAGAGGTTAGCTTCTCTTTACTGATTCGTAGAATGACAAAAGACGCCCTGGCTTTGCTTTGGTGCGCTCTTGGGATGCCGCTGAGGAGGTTGCAGTAGGCCGCAACCAGACCGTGGGAGATTGTACTGAGTTGATCCAGGCTCTTGGATATCTGATGTCGGGACCAATTCGTGACGCCCTTAGAAAACTGGTCCCATGCAAGTCTAGCATGCAGAAAGTTCCCTCGAGAAATCTCCATAATCTTATTTTCCACAGTATGTTTGGTACTGTCTGAGATCTGCGATTTCGTGGCACGTCTTCGTATCTGACGGCTGACGAAAGCCTGAACATTCTGCCAGTTAGAATCGTTGTCGGCATCAATGATGGCAAGATCCGTCTCCAGGAACTCGTTCTGCGGCATCTCGCGGTGAGAGAGTATCAGTTTAACCCGGCCACTCAGGTCCTGCGTGATAAGGTGCTTGAGTCTGCCGAAGATTGTAGTTGTGTCCTCAGAGCTACTACGTAGCACTTCATCAATCGCGTCGATGACAAACTGGAACACAATCCCTCGTGATTTCTCAATGACAGTCGAAAGACATATCCAGAGATTGTCTTCCACTTCCGCCTCTTCTCTGTAATTACGACCCTCCAGATACTTAATGAGATAGGAGATTCGTTTGTCAACAAGAATCTGACTCAAAAAAGAGCGCACAAAAGCTGCAGATGTTTTTCGTGTAGAGTCCTTGTCGTCAAAAAAGAAGTATAGCGGTTTTCGAATGACAATGTCTCCGGATGACTCGCTCTGCTCCATCAGGTGAGCGACAACGCCTCTCATGAGGATTGTCTTGCCTGAGCCGGGTGGCCCATGAAGCCAAGTAATTCGGCGGCCTTGTTGCGTAGTCCACAATTTGAAATCAGGATGTTCGAGCAGCCACTTGGACGACTTATTAACGTGAACGGGAAGGACCGATAGGTCTCTTTCCGTGTCTTTGGTTCTCAGATTCAATATAAAACTGAGTTGCAATGAGTTGAAGACTGTTTTCTCAAAAGTTAGTTATTTGAGCGATCCCGAAAGATCGGTAAGCTGGCACGCACAGGTGTATTCAGGTTTTCCCGACATTGTATCTATCAACTCAGCAATACAATTGAAGACTGTCGAATAGTTATGACTAGACCTTGTGAGATGTCTTGACATGTTGTCATGATCCGCATTCAGTGAAAGAAGAGTTTCTGCGGGCAGATGGAGAATGGCTGAGGACTTGTCGACGACCTGCAAACCATTTATCAGTAGGAATCACTTAAATGGTAAAAAAAAAGGGCTTCAGCAACCTACCGCAGACCGTAAACTCTCGGTCATCTGTTGCTCGAAAAGGCTGAAAACCTGTAGGCCCGCTGGCATACCATGTTCTTCGAAACGAGAACAGATCAATCCTAGCTCAATGGCTCTTTCCTCAAAGCTGGGCAACAGGGTCTGCTGATGGCCGCAAAGAAAAGCAGTCTTCTTCAGTAGGTCCGACCAGTAGCCCATGTCGGCTTTCTTATGTGGTGTGCCGAGGAATATGACACCCGCCACGGACTTTCCGAGTCCACTGTATCGGCTTTCACTCTCGCAGGCCATGATCATGGCCTGCTTGAAGACCATCCCACCAATTCCATGGCAAACGAATATCAGTTTCCGCTCGGCCGCTTCGGCTCTGCTTTTTCGCAGCTGCTGGATACCAGATAGCAGCTGAGCAGCAATGTTGGCAATGCTAGATTTGGAGGCGTTGAAGACTACCGATCCGTCGAAACCGAAGGTCAAAACACGAGCTCTAGGGAAGTCCAATGGCAGAAAGTCTTGCAACCAGAATCTATCGCCACAAGTCCAAGTCTTGACGGCATGGCCTCCAACACCATGGATGGCGATTAGGTCCACATCTGTTGGGATATCGGTTGCGTTCTCGTTCTGCGGATCTGGCCAAATTGGAATCAGTCCGACAGGCAGATCCTTTTCTGAAAAAGCTTCTCGTAACCTCTCCTCCACTAGGGGTATGTTCGAATCGGTTGGCTTCTTGTCGGCTGCAAATCTTCTTTGGACATCTTCAATTGCAGTCGCCCACATGTCTAGTAAGCAGTGCTTGAATGTTTGGTAGTCTTCGTCAAAGCGGCTCCGGAACTTTGGGAGGTTTTCATGGCTGCGATTGATGGCCACAGGACCGAGAGACACGGACTCTGACCAGTGACCCAGAGCCGAGCTGAGAGAAACCAGCATTTCTCCATCTCCGGTCCGTCCCACGGCTCCGCTGCTATTCTTCTGCGAGTTCTGTGTGTTCATTTCCTCAACAATGCTGATTATTTTCAAGCCCTTGAAAGTTATGGCGTCTTTAAAGCTCTTGTCTAGCCTTTTTAGATAAGGTGACCCTGGTTTGAGGTTCTCCACAAGCTGCCGGCTTGGCTGCTCTTTGATAAGGCGAAGCCAGAGCTTGACCAGTAGCCCTTGATGGGGTACGCCGAAGAAAACCAAGCCGCAAACGCTTTTGGCGGTGAAATCGTCTTTCTTTGCCAAGCTATAGATGGCTTCCTTTACAACCAGCCCGCCCAGGCCATGAGCAATGAACGCGATAGGCCGAGGCTTCGATCGCGTTGGAGTGTTGGACAAAGGCCGTACACTCCGGACTGAGATGGCAAGTTGATCGCCAATTTCGGTGAGATTCTGGGATGACTCGCTCCCGCGGAGGGAGGTGTCATAGCCGTAAAGCAAAACGCGGACGTTTGGGGGGAACGCTGCATCATCATCCACCAGCCACATGAATTGACCACCCCCGTCTTTCCAAGATTCAAAAGAGTGACTGCCAAAATCACTGACGACGACGCAGTCAATCCGGCTATCATGAGTGTCCTCGACAACGTTCAAGGGAGTGAAACCGAGAAAGGTCGTGTCGATTTCAACCCGGACACGTCGCACTCGGCCCTCGAATGACAGGACCTTGTCGAATTTCCAGGAACGCCCTTTCAGCAAAGGACTCGGCACAGGGAAGAACATGACAATCGCAACCAGGTAGTCCGCGTGGGGGTACAGACCCAGAGAGCGGACTATCGTCTGTGTCTCTGTGCCAAAAAGCTCATCGAGTATCTCCTTTGTACTGGCCTTGGACAGGCCCGTGGGGAGGCCGATAACTCGATAGACTGACATGCTGCCGAAGATAGAATGACGGAAGTGCATGCAAAGGGGAAAACACGCTCACCAGTCTGGATGGATCATAAGAGAAGATATAAACAGGCTGGAGCTGCCAATGCCGGGGCATCAGCGGCGGAGTAACCGCCAAGCCGAAGCAGGCTGCGCAGTTCTTTCCCGTCGACCCACCATTGATCTTACATAGACCAAACGCAGCCAGTCTTGTTGGGCACACGGAATAAGTACCCGAGCCTGTTGAAGTTCTCAAGCGGATACGACCGACAACCCCGCGTCAAGGAACACCTGCTTCTAATAGGTTCGACGACAAGGTAGTCAGGGCCAAAAGAGCAATAATCCCGAGCACAATGCTGTGCCTGCGCTTGAGCGCAACCGAAGAGTGTGATCATAACAGTCCGCATAGCTACTCTGATATGTCGAGGAACTTTCATAGCCCACCCTGTAAGATGGTACACAGTAGGCAAATGAAGTAAGAGCAATTCGCCCGGTGTTTCGTCCAGCAAGATGGATACTCTGATATGGAAAGGCTAGAAATAGCTCCTGCAAAACCGTCGCCTTGCTCGGTGCTATCCCTGTCCCACCCTTTTCCGTGAGTCTGCGCATTGTTCCCAATGCGGCAGCTCATCCTTTCTACCTGACAGCTCTTGTGACGGGGTGATACCCGAGCAAGCAATGAGTCAACACAAGTTGATGATCCTTCATCCCTTTTGCCGGCGTCGAGGCTGGTCTAGACCCATACTCCCTAGCCGCGATCCACGACTGGGTCAGCCAGAACACAGGCCTTACTCGTCTAGCTGCCATGCCCAGTGTGAGCTTTCAATACGGGGCAGCTTCAGCTCAGTCAAATTAAGAAGATCTACCTTTTTTTGAAAACGCGGCCCGGCGGCTACATGTCCCGATGGAATTAAAACGGCACATTCCTCTACGACACGTTGCGCTTCTCGCCAGCTCGACTGTCTCTATTGCTACCGTATTAACGGCAATATAGATCGATCTCGCGACGGAGGTGCTCCAAGACAATGCTGGTTTCCAGTCCGTATTTGAGTGAAGTAGGCGGTTGGCATACAACAACTGGTAAACGATTCACGCGATACTAGATGCCTACGTGTAGATACAAGCCTCCGCCGTCACCCCACGTCAATAGCTACGCTTGGTTATAATTTCAAGAGACTCGAATGAAATGCTAAGAATCTCTACAACCCCGCCTAGTCCTGTAATCGAAATTACTCGTCTCCCAACATGTCAATAGATATTACAAAGGCGTCGCCAATTGCTTTGTCCCCTCGCAAGGGGGAAAGAGAACCATAATCATGGGCAAAGAGCAAAAGCAACGGTACTCTCGGGACGCTGAAGTATCTTCTTCCCAGACCCCGAAGCATATCGCCTAGCTTAATGCATGTCTACGCAATGACGGGAAGAATGGGCAGCGTTGCGAGGCTTTGGCTACGGACATTGGTCGGTTTATCCTATTCGGATGCGTTTTCAATTGATGTCTTTACCGTTGTCTTTATGGTGTTTGTTTTCCTGCCGTCTCTGCACTCTGGATCGTCCTCCAGTGGCGTCTCTAGTGTTGCCCTCTGGTGTCGTCCTCTGGTGTCGTCCTCTGGTGTCGTCCTCTGTTGTCGTCCTCTGTTATCGTCCTCTGGTGTCGCCCTCTGTTATCGTCCTCTGTTGTCGTCCTCTGTTATCGTCCTCTAGTATCGTCCTCTGTTATCGTCCTCTGGTGTCGCCCTCTGTTATCGTCCTCTGGTGTCGCCCTCTGTTATCGTCCTCTGGTGTCGTCCTCTGTTGTTATCCTCTGTTGTCGTCCTCTAGTATCGTCCTCTGGTGTCGTCCTCTGGTGTTGTCCTCTGTTGTCGTCCTCTGGTGTCGTTCCTGCCGTCCCTGTCGTCGCTGCCGTTCCTGCCGTCCCTGTCGTCGCTGCCGTCCCTGTCGTCGCTGCCTTCCCTACTTCCCTACCGATCATCGCGGTCGCCTATGTCTGAACCTCACCTCGCATACTCGAATGCCCACGACCTCAGCGCCGGTTCCGCGCCTTTTTTCCAAAGAAAAGCACAGGACTAGTGTAAAATATGAATTAACCATCAATAAAAATAGCAAAAGTAATGCATCCTCGGGGAGTCGAACCCCGGTCCCCAGCTGACGCTTTCCTTGGGAATGGAAGGCTGGGATGATAACCGCTACACTAAGAATGCGTTGCTGATTCGTTGTTGTGGTGGAGCAGTCCACAGGATACCTATGTAGGGCGCGCCCCACAGTGGGACTCACTCAGGTTGACCATCATGCCACTTTCGGTATCGAAAATCGCCTGCATGCGAGTAATTCTCTAGTAAATCAATTCAACGTTAAGTAGAACGAGCCTCTTATATATGTCATGGGATTGGTCGTTTTATTGGTGCATCCATCTAATCATGGTGAAATTCGTCTCATTGGAGCAGTTGGAGTGACCCCGACGTCGGCCTCAACGTCAACTATTTCTGACGGCGGCGCGCCGAAATAATCATGCAAGTCATCCAAATGGAATATGAAAGGATCTCGGAGTCGTATGGCATGTGGGTGTTCTCACCAACCATCGTCTGAGGATTCGGCTCGTCATGGTTGAGGGAGATGGCGTGCTCAGAACGCGGCGATCCGCCTCCGGCACGGCGCGAAAGTACCGGCGCGGGGAACGTCGTGACATCAGATGGAGGGGTATTTATCAATGCGATTTGAGTCCATTTCGACGACATTGCTCGCTCAATTGCCCGTGAAAACTGAAAAGAAAGGAATCCCAAGATGCCGTCGGCCGTCTCTCCTGAACCCACACCCCTGCCGAAATGGCAGCGCCCAGCCAAGACCACGCATGATCTCCCCTGGGCGGATATCAAAGTGATCGATATTGGCAAGTTTGACGAGCCGGGTGGCAAGAAGCAGCTTGCTGAGGAACTGCGCCAAGCGGTGAGTGACCCCAGTGTGAACGGCGAACAGTTGTTGACAGGATGGTCAGGTTCACGAGACGGGCTTCTTCAGTCTAATCAATACTGGCTTTACACCTGAAGAGGTACAGCGCCAGTATGACATCGGGCAGGGATTCTTCGGCCTCCCCGTTGAAGACAAGGCAAGGCCAGGAAACACGTGTGACTTTTCCAAGGGGAACTACTTTGGATACAGGCCGGTATGTCGGGACCCAATTCAGAGAGAGAGCGTTGGCTGACCTGGTTACACTAGTTTCACGATAAAAAGATGCAAGGGACAGAAGTACTCAACAATGTGGAGTCAGTGAACATTGCCAAGTTCATTCCCAAGTATGCGAATGAGCCATTCCACCCTTTCTTCGAGCCATACCGCGAGGAGATTGAAGATTTCTCCAGGGTGAGCTTATCCCCAGCTGTACATCCCATATCGGCTAACACATGGACAGCGTTCGCTTGAGATAGCTAGCAAGGTCTTCACACTGTTTTCCATCATCCTCGAGCTTCCTGAAGACTACTTCTCCTCCCGCCACGCTTACGAAGATCCCAGCGAGGACCACCTGCGGTACATGGGCTACCATCCGCGATCTCTCGCTGACGACCTCAAAGTCGCCAACACGTGGTCGCGCGCCCATACTGACTTTGGATCCCTGACGCTGCTGTGGAGTCAAGACGTTGCTGGCCTTCAGATAAAGACGTCGTCGGGCGAATGGAAGTATGTCCCGCCTGTCGACAATGGCATCGTCTGCAATGTGGGCGACATACTCGACTTCTGGTCTGCAGGGTACCTCAAGTCGACGACGCATCGGGTCGTCCGGCCCCCGGAAGACCAGGCTCACCTCTTCCGCCAGGGACTGTTTTACTTTGTGAGACCTGGTGACGATGTCGACATCAAGCCTGCTCCATCTCCACTGCTAAAGAGATTAGGGATCGTCAAGCAGGATGCCGAGAACGCGGAGCCAGTCACTGGTCTGCAATACGTCAGAGAGCGCGTAAAGAACTACCATCATCACAATGATTACGCAGACATGAAGGGCAAGAAATTCAAGGTTGGCAACTTGGAGATTGAGGATGAAGCAGATTGAAGGATCAGAATAAAATGTCATTGTAACTTTTCCAAACGCCGCCCGTCTATGTAAAAACGCCTCCGCTGGCATCCCAAATCATGTACATGAATTCCTTACTGGTCAAACTCGCCAGCGTACAGAATCTCGTCACGCTTGCCGTTGACGACGTCCCAGAGGGCGCGCTCCTCGTGCTCAGTGTCTCTCTTGAGCAGGGTGGACAGCTCGACGCCAGTCTCCTTAGCCTGGTCCTCCTTGGCGAGTCTGACGTGGAGGAAGACAGCAGTCCTCTTGCCAGTGTACAGGGCGTGGGGGACGTTGGTGCTGTTGTCCGAGTTGGCGTCACCAATAGCGTAGATGCCGTTGACGTTGGTCGCGTATCCCTTGGCAACGTCAACAGCGAGTCTGCCGCCCCAGAGGGTGACGCCGGCGTCGGCACCGATGGAGCTGCGCTGCTCGTCGGGGAAGCTGGCGAAGAAGACGGAGCGCTCGAGCGGCTCGCCCTCAGTGAAGTCGACGCGGAAGAGGTCGTGCTCAGGGGCGGTCGCGAGGGAGGGGTCGGCGGGGTGCGCGCCGCCGTCCTGGAGGCGGGTGACCTTGGCAATGGTGCGGTTCTCGACGGTGACGTTGTGCAGGTCGAGGAACTCCTGGAACTTGGGGTTCTTGGCCTCGGTGGCGTTGCGGTTCTCGGGGGTGTCGGTGCCGTTGACGAGGGCGACGAGGTCGGTGTTCAGGGTGAGGATCTCGCGCACGAGGGAGGGGACGTCGGTGAGGTCGCCGAGCAGGCCCATGGACTGGTCGGCGTGCTCGTGGCCGTCGCACCAGGGGCACCAGTACAGGCCCTTGCCCCAGATCTCCTCGATGCCGGGCGTGGAGGGGAGAATGTCCTGGAGGCCGGTGCCGAGGACGATCTTGCGCGCCTTGACGGTCTGGGTGCTGTTCTCGGCGCAGGTGTAGGAGACCTCGAAGTTGTCGGCGTCGCTGCCGCCGATCTTGGTGACGGTGCCGTTGATGGCGGAGACGGTCTCGTAGGCCTCGATCTGCTTGCGGGCGGCGTAGCGGTACCATGCGGGGGTGACGCCTGTTGGGGCAGATTAGCAGATGCGCGGGCAAAAATGTTTCACAAGGATATCCTTACCATCGAATCCGAGGACGTCGTGCATGTGCCTCGTGGGCGCGTTACGGTACTCGGCAGAGTCGATGAGAAGAACGTTTCTCCTGACACGGCCGAGAGCACTCAGGGCGGCAAGACCTGAAGGGCCACCGCCGACGATGACGGCATCATAGAGTGTGGAGGAGTTGGCGATGGGCGCGGCGGAGGCCAGGCTCAGGGCCGAGAGGATGATGGATGAAAGAGTGAACTTCATGATAGCGACAGTGCTGTGATGGTCTAGTAAAAGAGTGTAGACGGTGAGATGGGTATTAGAGAGCTGAGCTGGTGTCAGGAGAGGCTGCTGAGCTACAAATTTCCTTCTTCTCAACCCAGGGGCATTCCATGCTATTTATCGAAACAAAAAAGCTGTTGGTTTCCCGGACATCTCAAAAGTGCGTGCCACGGCATCTTGATGGTGTGATACCGCAAGACATCTGAAATGAGCCTAAGCAGCCGTAGATCTGGGTGACAGCGCCACGGCATGCCCGTCCTGTGGGGAAATCGGGCCGTGGCATTAGCGTCAGGTAAAGTAAAGGATCTAGTGACGGTGCCAATCGAGAGTCGACAGCATCGCTGAAAGAGGTAGGTCGGTCTCTTCAGGTGGGTGTCCTTGAATGTGGCATCGATCTGCCTTCAACTAGGGGGTGGGTGTGATATTCTTTTTTTAAGTTTGGTCGTCTTGGGTCCTGCGGAATTACCGGCGAGCACGCCTTCTACGCCTTTGGCGGCTGTTCGAGTTGATGCGGGCGATACTGCATTGCGGGCTGACTCAGTATCCCGGGGAATCGTCATTGCGTGATCGCCGAGTCTATGTAACCCTCCCCCCAAAAGATATCAGAGGGACATGCGACACATTCGCGAATTCGTGATAGCGCGCTGGCGGGAGCGGGTGGCACGAGTCAAGAGCGGGAGGGGCGGGGATCTTGGGTCCTCGGCGGGAGCCGCAGCGTAGCAGCGGTCAGCCGTTGAAATGTTCGCACTTCTTACGAAAGGGAAATTGAGTAGAGTTGATTAAAATCCAAAAGCTTTGGGGGGAAAATCCTGAAAGATCAGATGATGATTTCCCTGTAAAAATGCCGCTACTACTGGGTAAGGTCTCGGTTCTACCGCAAACTTTCAGACTAATCCCCTTGTGGAGTTTGTCATTATAAACAAGCTTAATGAGCTATGGTCGCCGCCGTGTCTTGGTCTAAAAAAGTTTGGACGCGAGCTGAGATCGTTCCTCGACCATTTGTGCTCCATTGCAAGAGACATCGGGGAAAGAAATGAGACACGGGAGCAATAGTTGGCATCCTCAACGACAGATACGAGATTGATTCACCGATATGCCTCAAGCTTCTGCTTAAAAGGTCTTGAGCGGCATGCTTTCACGACATGTTCAAGTTGTCATTGGTTTCCCGTGAGACGGGTGTCTTGGAGCACCGTCATTTCCGGCGAACAGCCGTTGTTTTTTTCTCGGGTGCCACGCGAAGGTGCATTTCTTGCGAGGCGCCAAAGTTTCTCGCGGCTAGATACAGCTCAGCAACCTCGACATGGGGTTTCACGCTTTATGCCAGCCGAGAACGAGGCGATCTTGCGCCGGACTTGGTGACATTTTGCAGATTCGGGTGTTGCTATGAGACCGTGAAACTGTTGATAAGTTCGTCCCAACATTGGCAAGTTCAAGCGACCGCCTTATGCGCTTAATCATCGCAAAGGTTCGGGATGAGGCGGGCAAAAGGTTCTTCCATCTGTTCATCGGAAAGCTTTGCCTATTCATAGTGGGGTTCTCATTTGCCCCTCCTTTACTTCGATCCTTCCCAGACCGAGGCCTGCCGATGTCAGCGTCCGGAAAGGTGGGGCGGACCGGTCTCGGGGTGGTCGCCGGTCAGCCCAGATCTCGCTCCGGGCGTTCGGCATGTCAACTTGAGTCCATAACGTCCGGTGACGAAGTCGAACCCCGGCCTTCGCGACCTCCAACGACTTCCGACGCAACTGATGAGTAACCACGCCAAGACCAATCGACACCTGTGTAACTGTGCCGCCTTCCTGCATGAGATAACATCACGTGCGGAACCGGGGGTGCAAACATGTCGTTGGTTTCCCCTCTTCTCGCTGGAAGGCCACATGGTCACAATTTCCAATGATCGCGATCTCATTCGTTCCTACCTGTGCCAATTGACTACGCTAGAGAGGCGAGACTTGCGCGCCTGTCAGCGAAATTGCTGACGACCACATCATGGCTGTCATAACCTGGCCAATCTTGGCCATCCTCGGCTTGGTGGCGTACACCGTCTACCATCATGCAACCAAACCCCGAGGCAAGCTTCCGCCCGGCCCCAAGCCACTCCCGCTACTCGGAAACATCAGAGACTTTCCGCCCAATGGCGTCCCGGAGCACCTCCACTGGATCAAGCACAAGGATTTATATGGGCCAATTAGTTCCGTGACAGTCATGGGAATCACGCTCGTCATTGTGAACGACAGGCAGATGGCGCACGACTTGCTTGACCAGGATGCAGTAAAAACATCTGGACGACCCACGATGGAAATGGCGGGTAAGCTGTGCGGCTACGAGAACGTTCTCCTCTGCCAGGGCTACACACCCGACTATCTTCGTCGCCGCAAGTTCGTTCACCAGGAATTGGGAACCAAGGCATCTGCGGCGCAATTTCTCGATGTACAAGTGGCTGAGGTGGGCCGGCAGCTCGTGCGGTCGTTGAGGGAGCCTGACGACTTGCTGCGTCACTTTAAAAAGTGAGTCAATACTACAATCCTATCTTGGGTGTACTTGCTGACAGCACATGAAAAAGGGCTGCCGCAGCCACATCGTTGAAGGTGACATACGGATACACCGTCGAGCCTCACAAGCCGGATGCCTTGGTCGACATGATCGAAAAGGCCCTGACGGAATTTGCAATCGCAGCCAGTCCCATGGCCTGGGCTGTCGATATCTTTCCTGCCCTCCGCCATCTTCCTGAAAACTTCCCCGGTGCGACCTTCCAGAAGAAGGCAAAGCAGTGGCGCAAGTCTATCCAGTCGTCAGCCTACATCCCGCTCGAGTTCGTCAAGAATCAGATGGCCAACTTCACTTCCCCTACTTGTTTCGTGTCCAAGACTGTGCAGCAGCTGGGAGTCGGCGACGACGGAAACTTGAGTGCCGAAGATGAGGACGCCGTGTTGTGGGCAGCTTGCAGTCTCTACGGTGCCTCCACGGACACCACGGTGATTGTGCTAACCAGCTTTGCCCTGGCCATGCTCAAGTTCCCCGACGTTCAGCGCAAAGCGCAAGAGGAAATTGACCGGGTCATCGGAACGGGTCGCCTGCCTGGCTTTGAGGACCGCGAGAAGCTGCCATACGTTGATGCTTTGGTTAAAGAGGCCTTGAGATGGTGGCCGCTCACACCCATGGGCTTCCCGCACACAGCAACCGAGGATTTTGAATTCGAGGGATATGATATCCCAAAGGGCGCCATGATCTTGCCTTCGGTCTATTGGTTCCTACACGACCCCGAGGTCCATGCTGATCCTGACACGTTCGACCCCGATCGCTTCCTTCCGCCTCGCAATGAGCCCGATTCTCATACCGAAGCGTTCGGCTACGGACGTAGGATTTGCGTTGGCAAGGTGTTTGCTGATAATAGTCTGTATCTCAACATTGCGCAGACGATTGCGGCGTTCAACTTCAGCTGGGCTGTGGGCGAGGATGGTAAAGAGATAGAGGTGGATGTGCAGCCGAAGCCCGGCGTGCTTATGTACGGAACGGATTTCAAGTTCAAGGTTACGCCTCGTAGCGAGAAGCATGTGGAGTTGATCAAGCAGCTCGAGAGGAAGTATCCGTTTGTGGCGAGCAATGCTGCGCAGCTTTCCGATCCGAAGGACTTCGTGG